GTGCACACTTCCGTAGTAGCGGTTATTGTTCATGCTCATTGGGCTGTGCTGTGTGTTTTGCATTCGCCATTCATAGAACCATCGCGTTAATCAGATTATCTCAAAAACAACCTGGCACAATGGGGATTAGCCCTGTGGCACGATAAGAGTTAATGTACAGTTTATGTATCTAACTTTCTATCGTCTTTAAGATTCTGAATTTAACATGATGGCTTTTTTTTACAGTTGACCTTTCCTTTCCAGATGAATCTTTTGAAGAGAGTGGTGAGAGCATACATTAAGGACTCTTCGATTGTCACATCTACATTGTAAATTGCAACATTGCGTCATTCTGATGATCTGCGCATGCGCCATGATGTCTACCCTGTAGAGAATGTGTGTTCAGCTCGGTTTTGACGATCACCTCAATGTTGAATGCCGTACTCTATAGCAAGAGTCGGTATCTAGCTCTCTGTACCTGTACGTCATTCATTCGTTCATGTCTCCTTAGATCAAGACTAATGTACAGTTTCTTAATTGAATTAAATTAATTTAAATTAAATTCTTCCCATCGCCCGATGGCTGCGATGGCCGTCTCATTTACAAGGGTCAGGTATTCATCTGTGCAACTTGTTTCGCCGCACTTCAAGATGTGTTTCATCGTCTGAGTCTCTCCACAGTTGCAGAGAGTATCTTCTTCATGGGCATAGCTCCATCTTGCCATGTTTGCCTTACACCGCCCCATCCTTGTCCGCATTTGATTTACCGGTAGGCATTTCCACTTCTGGCCATTTCAGGTTTAGTCCTTTGATGAGTCCTTTGATGGGCTTGGCTGGTGGTGGAGGAATCTGCTCAGGTGGTGGGACAGAATCAAGGAAGCTGTGTTGGGATACATGGCGTTTGTGGGGTGGCAGGTAGCCGTATAACATGTGTGTGTCATCTGTCGCCTGCTTCATCCGTTCCTTTAGGCAGGTGTTAGAGCGTCCTTGGTTAGCTAGGAGATCCGATGCCAGCGAGGTGATATATCTCCTCAACTTTTGTCGGTTTCAGGCAGCCTGTTAGCCTTCGATGTGTTATTGAGTGTAGTATCAAGCTTCTTCACATGGGCTGATCTGAACCAAACTGGGCAAGCATATTCTGTGGATGACATGCAGAGAGGATCGAGCTGCAGATTGTACAGTTTTTTGGGGGTCAGCGCCATAGTGTGAAGTGTTTACCTGTAAAGTAATTTGAGCTCATTCAAAGTGGCAAGGGCGCAGGAAATGTGGATATGCAAGCCAAATACTAGTACACCACACACATGACGTCATGTTCACTAGTGCGGCAAACAGGCCTTGACTGAACTTGAAATGATTTCAAAGAGAAATGATGAGCAAGGGACGTACGTGGACTACCTGAGTGAACATAAACTCTGACTAGAACGGCGTTCTTGTTGACACAATGGAAAACACCTTATTATCTAAGATCTGTCTGTCAATAAAGTGTAGTCCGCTTTGGGTGATTGAAAACGTTTGTCCTCCAATAAACACACAAGTGTGTCAAACTCCCCTCGAGGAAACTAACACGACTCCTGTCTTAATTAAGAGGAAATCCTACCTTGATAGCAAACTACTCTATAGGAAAGCAGAATTATCTGAAAGTGGACAGGTGAAATTTAATGCGCCAAAAAGTTCACTCCTCGAACAGCCCCCCCCCCCACCGAAAAGGCACTCCGACACAAGTGCCAGAACTCAACTCAATGCAATTCAACTAATTTACTTAAAGGTGAAATTCAAAGAAAATCACAAATATGTCAACTAATGTATCACTAGAAACTGGTAAGCTAACAGATGGCCATCGTACAAGTTTAAGGTCAACTACACATCGGGTGATTTATAAAAATTCAAATACAACCACCTCCATAGCAGCTGGAATATACGAGAGATTCGCCGGAAAAATAACAATGTTTTAATGACGTCACTATATGGACCAACGCTGCCCAAGCAGACGACATCCCATAAAGAATGAACATAATTGCAAAGCTGTTATTTGTCAAATTATAATGAGTTTAGTGTATATAAATGTAATGGCATGTCAAACTATTCAAAAGGGGATATGACCCGATTCTGATAACTAAAATATTTTGCTTGTAAATACACAGGATAGGGGTTAATTAACAATCAAAGAAACCAGACTTTCAAATTGAAAAACCCCCGGAATGATATTGAGGACGGCATTTGTTCCCTCTTGAACCGCCGAACATACCGCGGTGTGTGCAGCTGAATATGCAATGGCGTCTTATTTTGTTTACAGGCGACACATTCCTTTATTTTTGTATCGCTGCATTCGTCATCAAAATAAAACCATGCGCAGGTTTTAGAGTGAGGCAATAGATTATACATTTATTCTGATGGTAGTGAAGTAAGAGAAAGAACTCAAGAGAAGATGAAAAAACAGGCACTGAAAATGTGTGAGATGTCATGGGACATCGTCTGCTTGTGCAAATCATGTCCATCCTGTGATCTCACACATCTCAGCAGCGTTCGGAGAGCTCTTCAGGTGCTATGCCGGGGCTGTATTTAAGCGTTTTGTAATTAATCTTTTACTTCAAATGGTTTCAAGCATTGAATTTTGACAACCTAGCTTGTAGAATCAAAGTTTCAACTTGGCAATAATGAAAATAAAGCTAGTTTTTAAAATCAATGAATATCTACTTTAGGCACTTTCAGCGTATTTTTGTTATTACATTTAATCTGATTATTATAAGGGCCATGACCCCCATCTGGACGGATTTGTTGGGCATTGTAAATGTCTGCATTACTATTTTATGTCATTGTAAAGCTAAGAATCTCTTCAGTTTAAGAAATGGTCTTTAAAATCATATCTGTGACTCTATGGTGTTTTTTGGTGTGATGGGTCTTATTTATTAATGTACATTTTATGTATCTACATGTAACTTTCTATCGTCTTTCAGATTCAGAATTTAACATGATGGCTTTTTCTTACAGTTGACCTTTCCTTTAATTTACAGATGAATCTTTTGAATAGTGTGGTGAGAGCATACATTAAGGACTCTTCGATTGTCACATCTACATAGTAAATTGCAACATTGCGTCATTCTGATGATCTGCGCATGCGCATGATGTCATGATGTCTACCCTGTAGAGAACTTGTGTTCAGCTCGGTTTTGACGATCACCTCAATGTTGAATGCCGTTCTCTATAGCAATAGTCGGTATCTAGCTCTCTGTACCTGTACGTCGTTCGTTCGTTCATGTCTCCTTAGATCAAGACTAATGTACAGTTTCTTAATTGAATTAAATTAATTTAAATCAAATTCTTCCATCGCCCAATGGCTAAGATGTCTGTCTCATTTACAAGGGCCAGGTATTCATCTGTGCAACCCGTTCCGCAGCACTTCAAGATGTGTTTCATCGTCTGAGTCTCTCCACAGTAAATTGCAGAGAGTATCTTCTTCATGGGCATAGCTCCATCTTGCCATGTTAGCCTTACACCGCCCCATTCTCGTCCGCATTCAATTTAGGCATTTCCAATCTCTGGCCACTTCAGGTTTAGTCCTTTGATGATTATGGGCTTGGCAGGTGGTGGAGGAATCTGCTCAGGTGGTGGGACTGAATCGAGGAAGCTGTGTGGAGATACATGGCGTCTGTGGGGTGGCAGGTAGCCTTATAACATGTGTCTGTCATCTGTCGCCTGCTTCATCCTTTCCTTTAGGCAGGTGTTAGAGCATCCTTGGTTAGGAGATCCGATGCCAGCGAGGTGATATATCTCCTCAACTTTTGTTGCTCTCAGGCAGCCTGTTAGCTTTCGATATTTGTTATTGAGTGTAGTATCAAAGTTTGTTCACATGGGCTGATCTGCTCCAAACTGGGCAAGCATATTCTGCGGATGACATGCAAAGGGGATCGAGCTGCAGAATGTACAGTTTTGGGGTCAGCGCCATAGTGTGAAGTGTTAACCTGTACGTAATTTGAGCTCATTCAAAGTGGCAAGGGCGCAGGAAATGTGGGTATGCAAGCCAAATACTAGTACACCACACACATGACGTCATCATATCATGTTCACTAGCGTGGCAAACAGGCCTTGACTGAAATTGAAAGGATTTCAAAGAGAAATGAGCAAGGGACGTACGTGGACTACCTGAGTGAACATAAGCTCTTGACTAGAACGGCATTCTTGTTGACACAATGGAAAAGACCTTATTATCTAAGATCTGTCTGTCAATAAAGTGTAGTCCACTTTGGGTGATTGAAAACGCCTGTCCTCCAGTAAACACCGAAGTGCGTCAAACTCCCCTTGAGGAAAGCAGAACAATCTGAAAGTGGACAGGTGCAATTTTAGATGGAATGGGCCAAAAAATTAGGAAGCTATTATTTTTCAAAAGTGCACCTCTTATCTCTGTGCATACCTGTTGTATGCAATTGCTTAGCTGCGCGCATCTGACCTCAAGGCAGGTAAATTGAGGAGAGGGTTCGACACCATTTCTATGTGCAATATAACACATTTAAATACTTGAGTTATTTGACTTATGCCGTCCACGCAGGCCAGGGGCCTCGTGATGGCTTCTGTATGGTGATGGTATGCCAAGTTTTTGTGTCTGCAGCCTTAATTGATGCATCTGTCAGCCTTCTTCTGGATCTTGCTTTGCAGTCCTCTAAGATGCAGTCAAGCCATCTTTTGCCTCTGGGTCGATTTCCTGTGACGTTTCCTTCAACAGCAATTTTTGGGTATCTTGTGGGTTTCATTCGTAGAACGTGACCAAAATATTTGAGTCTTTTAGTCGAGTATTTGTCCATGACATCTTGTTTGAGGTTGAGGGATTCTTTGATGTGTGTGTTTTTCGGAGCTTAACTTCCGAAATCAAAGTTCCCATCATGCCATTATATTTCAACCTCGGTCTGCGGTCTAATGAAATATAACATCTTCCAGGAAATTCTGAATTTTTTTAGTTCATATATTTTGTTATATTGAATGCCTGAGCATGCAGTATTTATATCATGTGATCCATCCATGCACCCACAGACCAAAGGGAACCTGGGACTATTGACGTGGAAGAGGTGACCTCGACATCAATATCAATCACATGGACCGAGATTGCAGGAATCACCGACCATATTGTCAACCTCACCCTGGCAAGCAACAACACTAAGCTGTTCTCAGAAGTTATCAGAAGTTCCCTCAAGGCCAGCTTCTTAGGATTGATGCCGGGAGAGGAGTACATCATCGAGATTGAGTTGCAGTGCGTCAGAGAAGTTCTCTCTCTTCGACAGTTTACATGTAAGTCAGTTGTTAAAGCTCATGTACAATGGGCATGTTTGGTATCAAAAAAGAAATTCAATTCTCCTTGTAGTATCTTGCTATTTAATCATCTAAAATCAAAGAAATTTGACGAAAGGATTTTGAGGGCTTACCACAACTGTACACAGCCTTTTTCTTTAACCCTATTTTAACTGGGCTATTTCAGACCGGGTTTTTACTGGGGGGGGGGGGGGTCAATTTGACCCCCCCCCCCTAAGATCTCGACCGTTTCACTGCCGATCGCCGTGAAAATTTGCATGCATGTCAAGTGAAGTGTATAGAATACTATGGTAATTTCAATTTTTGAAAAATTCACTCATTTGCATATTTATGGTAATTTATGCAAATAAGGTCATACAATTCATATTTTTGCCCATAAATCATACATTATTCATATTTAAGCATTCTTTTTCACTACATATATTTGTTAGACCATTTGGAATAATAATACAACACAAAACATTGGAAGAGCCAGGTTATTCCTTATGTTATCTCTTGTTTTGCTAATTTCTTATGTATTTCATTGTTTATTTAACTTAAGTATTTTATTGTTTTTGTTGTTTTATTTCATTTATAACTACAATGCAACTATTTTGGCCCCCCAAAAAACCCTTAACATAAACAAGACTAAATAACCAATGATTTATCTCTTTTTAAGAAAAATGACATTTCCATACGTTTTGTACACAAATCACAAAAATGAGCGATTTTCGGGCTGACGTGCGAAGACAAAAAGTCACGTGACTTTGTAACTACACATCCGATTTTCGATTTTTTATTTTTTTTTATTTTTTTTTAAAGATGCGTAAGACTCGAAAGAAAAAAGTCATGAAAGGAAAATGTTATATCTGCCGCGGTTTCGGAGTAGTCGCAAAATTTCTACAGGGGGGGGGGGGGTCAAATTGACCCCCCCCCCCCCCAGTTAACGTAGGGTTAATACCAGATCGATGCGCATGGGGCGTTGTTCCACGTCTGCCAATTACGCCACACACACACATATAAATGTGTTTGGCAGGGTATTATCACATGAATGACATTTGCAGGAGGATTCCTCATAGTTTGCTATTCTATTTGAAGCAATATACATTTACATGTGTACCTTTGATACTCTGTACATGTACATGTTTATCTGCAAGAGGAAAGTGACATTAATCACTCTTACTACCAATAATAGTCGGTTCTTGTATACCGCTCATGTCGGTCAGACTTGACATTCTTGGTGCTCCAATTACCTTCCATGTCTAGAGAGGTATTGTAGTCTAGTGGATAAGTCTCCGTACTGTGAACCACCAGGTAAAAGGTTCAAATCCCAGCCGCTGCACTATATAGTCCTTTGGCAAGATATTAATCCACATTTGCCACACTTAACCAAGGTATGGTAAGTGCATGGGTACCTGCAGAGGATGTAATCCTTGAATACACTGAGCACTGCGAGTGCTAGAGCTAAAGCCAGCTAATGATATCAAAGTCCTTTCGAAGCACAAAGAGACATAATGTGACACAAAGAACTATAATTGTTGATATTGTTATCAGTATTATTTTTATCATTAGCATTAGTATTGTTATTATTATTACTGTTATCATTATTACTTTTTTTATTATTATTATATCTTTTACAGTACCTCTGGAGCCGGTGTGCGCCATCTTTACTTGGGTCACCGAAGACTCTGTCACCCTGCAATGGTCTCGACCTGAAAGCCAGCTCTTTGGTTACGAGATCATGTACGACGACGGCAGTGGTCCGTACAGTCCTATCAATGTGTTCGACAGGAACTCTTTGCAGTTGGAGAGAACGATCATGGGTTTGATGGACGGACCAGGTGTTGAGGTGAACATCACCACGCTCGCTGGTGCAGGAATGGCCCAGACCAGAAGCAACCCTGTCAAGATCAGTCCAAGTGAGTAACTACCGTATTTGCCGGCGTAAAGGCCGCAGTATTTTTGGAAAAGAAAATATCAAAAAGTCGGGGTGCGGCCTTTACGGCGAAACAGTTTAAAAAAAAAAATGTAAGTCCAAACCAGCACGAATTTGCACATATATGGGACTACGAACGGTAAAATGACTATACCACTATGGTACAGGACATTTCCACACATCTTACCGACAATTTTATCTTGCATTGTTGACATGAAGACTAAAATAAACTTCCAAAAACAACATCTGCTGATAGATCTTGATCTAAGTTCGTGCCAATGCATTGCAAAAGTAAAAGAAGGGCCCGTTTAACGGAGCTGCCGCGAAGCATCCAGCACGCAAAGTCGCCATTTTCAATCCATTTCAATGTATACATCAGATAAAACAGCAGGGTATTCCATCAGTGCGGGATGGCCGAGCGGTCTAAGGCGCTGGTTTTGGGTCCCAATCTACATGTGTCCGCAAGAGATCGAATCCCGCCTTCGACAATTTTTTTTTATTTTTTTATTTTTTTTATAATGTCGAAATCGGGGGTGCGGCCTATACGGCGCTGCAGCCTTATCGCCGGAAAATTCGATACACTGTTTGGTTTAAGCCTATCCACAATACATCTCTTCTCTTAATATCAACCTTCATTCACAGGCCAAAACTTAACAATAACGGGGGAGTGATTGTCTCTGCAGCTCCCTGTTAGGGAACAGACTTCCAAAATCAGTGAAAAATTGTAAAACTGTAGATCACTTTCAGAGAAAAACACATCTAATAATAATGATAATATTTTGTTTTTTTGTATAGCGCATATCACATTTTAACCTCTCTATGCACTCCCAAAGAGCTTTGGAAATTATTACCTAGGATTTAGCATGGCTGCCATTACGGCGCTCTGGCATTTCAATGAATTAATTCCTGCAAGGTACCCATGTAACTCACCTGGAACAAGTGTGGCAAATGTAGATTAATGTTTTGCTAAAGGACACTAGTGCCGCGGCGGGAATTGTGATCCACAGTCCGGTAACATATCCACTCGACCACGACACCTCTACAGAATGACAAGTGTTTTCCCCTAAGTATCTTTTGTTCTGTTCTATTTAAGCACTTTCAGCGTAATTTTGTTATTACATTTAATCTGATTATTATAAGGGCCATGAGCACCATCTGGACAGATTTGTTGGGCATTGTAAATGTCTGCATTACTATTATTCTCGTTTTACCCTTCAATTCTGATGAGTTTTATGTCATTGTAAAGCTAAGAATCTCTTCAGTTTAAGAAATGGTCTTTAAAATCATATCTGTGATTCTATGGTGTTTTTTGGTGTGATGGGTCTTTATTTATTAATGTACAGTTTATGTATCTAACTTTCTATCGTCTTTCAGATTCAGAATTTAACATGATGGCTTTTTCTTACAGTTGACCTTTCCTTTAATTTACAGATGAATCTTTTGAAGAGAGTGGTGAGAGCATACAATAAGGACTCTTCGATTGTCACATCTACATAGTAAATTGCAACATTGCGTCCTGATGATCTGTGCATGCGCCATGATGTCTACCCTGTAGAGAACGTGTGTTCAGCTCGGTTTTGACGATCACCTCAATGTTTAATGCCGTTCTTTTTAGAAATAGTCGATATCTAGTTCTCTGTACCTGTACGTCGTTCGTTCGTTCGTGTCTCCTTAGATCAAGATTAATGTACAGTTTCTTAATTGAATTAAATTAATTTAAATTCAATTCTTCCATCGCCCAATGGCTAAGATGGCCGTCTCATTTACAAGGGCCAGGTATTCTTCTGTGCAACTTGTTCCGCCGCACTTCAAGATGTGGTCCATCGTCTGAGTCTCTCCAAAGTTTCAGAGAGTATCTTTTTCATGGGCATAGCTCCATCTTGCCATGTTAGCCTTACACCGCCACATTCTTGTCCGCATTAGATTTAGGCATTTCCAATCTCTGGCCACTTCAGGTTTAGTCCTTTGATGAGTTTGGGCTTGGCTGGTGGTGGAGGAATCTGCTCAGGTGGTGGGACAGAATCGAGGAAGCTGTGTTTAGGTACATGGCGTCTGTTGGGTGGCAGGTAGCCGTATAACATGTGTCTGTCATCTGTCGCCTGTTTCATACGTTCCTTTAGGCAGGTGTTAGAGCGTCCTTGGTTAGGAGATCCGATGCCAGCGAGGTGATATATCTCCTCAACTTTTGTTGGTTTCAGGCAGCCTGTTAGCTTTCGATATGTGTTATTGAGTGTAGCATTACGTCTGACCCTCGTAGCTCGCAAACCCGAGTAAATGGCCATGAAGTCGGGTATTAAAATACCCCCTTCTTTACTTGCTGCAGAGGAGGCCTAACACAGCTGATCAACTTGTTTTCCAAACATCATAGCGTTCGCACTCCTTTCCGTCTCTCTCTCTTTGACTCTGTTTCTTTCAGGTTGCCTCCTTCAGTCTCTCTCCCCTCTCTCTCCTCTCCTTTCTATCTATCTCTCCCTTCCCTTGTTCTCTCTGTCTCTCCCACCTCTCTCTCAATCCCTTATGTCTGTCTTTCCATTCCCCGGGTGTCCGCCTATCTCTCTCTCTCTCTCCCCCTCTCTCAGAAATGTTAATTCTCTCCTCCCTCTCACTCTCTCTCCGGTTCGCGGCTCTTTCTTTTTCTTCTACTTCTTCTTCCATTCCCTCCTCGCCTTCTCAGTCTATTGTGGCCTAGTCTTTTTATTTTATTTTACTTGTTTGGCACGGCCGCCGATATCGATCCTCCCTAGTCAGTCTCTAGCTGCAGACTTCTTGCATTTCACTTTCTTTCTTCTCCATTTTTCATTTAAGCAATCACTAATGTCTTTCCAGAAGCCACCACCCCCCCCCCTCCCCCATTCGATCGAGTTCTCCAAGTCGAAGCGACAGTCCTCAGGTTTTTCCTGGTTGAAAAACTCCATTCATGAATTATGAGTCCTCAACTTGGGTTTCGAAACACCCCCTTATCACCTGTGCATTGATAATAACAAGAAAGTTTTCTTTACACTGCACTATTTAACGATTTTCTATCTTGTGTCAGAAGCTTGTTATATCTTAATTTATATTTACATGTTATTTATTTTATCAGTGAATACATGCAACGGAATTCAGCTTCTTAATGAGGACTAATTTATGTGTGGATTGTTATTAGGGGGACACTTCGTCTGCGCTCGGCTGCCCAACTCAGTGCAGGCACGTTAGGGTTACTATGGGGGTTACTATGCGATCTCCCTTCCAGCAACGATTCACTGGCAAAACCACATTGTTGACCTAGGGATCAGTGGTTCTTTTTTTCTTTTTTTCTCATTTTCTCATGTTTATTCGCCTGTACTTGTACTTGGAACTGGTGGGGGGAGAAAAAAAACGTACAAAATATAACCACCAGCTCCATTGCACTCTTAAGTTGACCTCATACAATCTTATTACAATGTATGCAATTTTTTTAAACATTACCAAACAAAAACAAAAATAGACAAGACAAAATACGTACAATTTACATCGAAAGTGAAAAAATACAGACAGAAAAGAGTTCAGCAATTTATGTAGAAACACACTTTATAACATATAAAAAGAGCGTTTACCCAGAATATAAAGCATACACAAAAATTAAATATTCAGTGGTTCTTAGCAGCCTCCCAATACATCCATCCAAGCAAGGAGCAAGGGGGTATTTCAATTTTGCTACGGGGACTTTACGTCATGGTATCAAGCTCCAAACTGTGCAAGCATATTCTGCGGATGACATGCAGAGGGGATCGAGCTGCAGATTGTACAGTTTTGGGGTCAGCGCCATAGTGGTCATAGTGTTTACCTGTAAGTAATTTGAGCTCATTCAAAGTGGAAAGGGCGCAGGAAATTCAGATATGCAAGCCAAATACTAGTACACCACACACATGACGTCATCATATCATGTTCACAAGGGCGACGAATAGGCCCTTACTGAAATTGAAAGGATTTCAAAGAGAAATGAGCAAGGGACGTACGTGGACTACCTGAGTGAACATAAGCTCTGACTATAGAACGGCGTACTTGTTGACAAAATGGAAAAGACCTTATAATCTAAGATCTGTCTGTCAATAAAGTGTAATCCACTTTGGGTGATTGAAAACTCCTGTCCTCCAGTAAACACCAAAGTTTTTCAAACTCCCCTTGAGGAAAGCAGAACAATCTGAAAGTAGACAGGTGAAATTTTAGATGGAATGGGCCAAAACATTAGGAAGCTATTATCTTTCAAAAGTGCACCTCTTATCTCTGTGCGTACCTGCTGTTTGCAATTGCTTAGCTGCGCGCATCTGACTTCAAGGCAGGTAAATTGAGGAGAGGGTTCGACACCATTTCTATGTGCAATATAACACATATGAATACTTACCTCCGAGATCAAAGTTCCCCTCATGCCATTATATTTCAACCTCGGTCTGCGGCCTAATGCAATATAACATCTTCCAGGAAATTCTGAATTTGTTGGTTCATATATTTTGTTATACTGAATGCCTGAGCATGCAGTACTTATATCATGTGATCCATCCATGCACCCACAGACCCAAGGGAACCTGGAACTATTGACGTGGAAGAGGTGACCTCGACATCCATCTCAATCACGTGGAGCGAGATTGCAGGAATCACCGACTTCATTGTCAACCTCAACCTGGCAAGCAACAACACTAAGCTGTTCTCAGAAGTCATCAGAAGTTCCCTCAAGGCCAGCTTCTCAGGACTGATGCCGGGAGAGGAGTACATCATCGAGATTGAGTTGCAGTGCGCCGGAGAAGTTCTCTCTCTTCGACAGTTTACATGTAAGTCAGTTATTAAAGCTCATGTACAATGGGCATGTTTGGTATCAAAAGAGAAACTGGATAGAAACATGTTAAATTGTATCTGGTCTCATGTAATTCTCCTTGTATTAAAGCATACATGTATACAAGATGATTTGGTACTCTAACCATGATTTCAGGTGAATTGTAGTGTAAATATCTACAAGGAATGGATAGGACCCTTCCCCCCCGAAGGTTCCTGGCACATTAATCCAAGCATTTGGCTTAGATACAGTGTGTGACAGTGTGAGACAGTGTGTGTGTTGACTGTAGCATATACACTCAGTCCTCATAGGCTTTACATGCGAGTACCGTATTTGCCGGCGATAAGGCCGCACCCCAACTTTGACATTTCAAAGAGGGGAAAAAAAAGGAAAACAACAAAAACAAAACAAAACAAAGAAAACAAACAAAACAAAATAATCCTATTTTTCTTGTAAAACACTATTTTTTTTTACAAACTGATACCAAATTCATCAATATTCTTATAATTATAGGTCAAAGGTGAAAGGTCATAGCACACTAAATATGCAAAAACACCTAATGATATACCTTTTATGTGAAAATGTGGTTAACCTCCTAGCCTAGTAATATAATAGTATAGTCCAATGGAGGTAACTTGTTCTGACGTATATAGGCCATTTGTACCCTGCGAGGGGATGCTACGCTTTGCGTTGACTTGTTATTATTATTATCTTATCTTTTACAGTACCTCTAGCGCCAGTGCGCGTCGTCTTTACGTTGGTCACTGTAGACTCTGTCACCCTGCAGTGGTCTCGACCTGAAAGCAAGCTCGTCGGTTACGAGATCATGTACGACGACGGCAGTGGTCCGTACAGTCCTATCAATGTGTTCGACGGGATCTCTTTGCAGCTGGAGAGAACGATCATGGGTTTGATGGACGGACCAGGTGTTGAGGTGAACATCACCACACTTGCTGGTGCAGGAATGGCCCAGACCAGAAGCAATCCCGTCAAGATCAGTCCAAGTGAGTAACTACACTGTTAGCTTTATAAGCCTAACCACAATACATCTCTTCTCTTATCAATCTTCACAAGCCATGTTGCTCTGGTCTCTGCTTTTCAAATAAATCCACAAATTGTCCACAAACTAAACGATCAGGGGGGAGCGATTAGATCTGCAGCTTTCCGCTTGTGGAACAGACTCCCAAAATCATTGAAATTTTAAAACTGTAGATCACTTTCAGACAAATGTAAAAACATATCTAATGACAAGTGTTTTCCCCTAATTATATTTTGTTCTGTTCTATTTTAAACACTTTCAGCGTATTTTTGTTAATACATTTAATCTGATTATTAGTAGTGCCTAATTGAGCACCATCTGGGTGGATATTTTGCGCATTATAAATGTCTGCATTACTATTCTTATTATTATTATGCAGCCACGAAGCATAGATACGAAGACAAAAAGTTATCAATTTAGAAATTTATCACAAACCCTGTAGCAGACCCTGCAAAACCTGGAAGGAGACACTATATGGTCTCACCCAGGCAGATACTGAAGACCGGAAGGCTACCCAATGTATCATGGTTCTTTTCTTCTCCTCAAGATACCTTCTTCTACTGTCTTCACATTCCGTTATATTTCTGAAATACACTAGGTTCCCTTGCATATTCGGGGAAAAAAAAATTGGGCCAACGTCGAATACTTGACCAATGACCACCATTTGTCAATAAAAAATGCGACAATGGACCACAAGTACGTCGCCTGTGCGCGCTTGGTGGGCGGTGCCATACTTGCTATGACGTCACTCGTAAGCGATTAAAAAACACAGCCGAACATAACATTATGCTAATATAATTACCTTACTCTTTACCCCCAACCAATCAAATACAAGTTAAACTATGGAAAGGACAGTTCCCCTACCCCCAAATGAATATTCATATTGCCAATTTGATACATAGTTTTCAAATAATCATTGAAGATAACTTGACGTATATTCAAATTTTAATGAACCATAATTTTGGCAAAAAACACGGAAATTTACATTTTGTTGTAAGGTTGTACAAAATTTATTATAAACTCTTCATCTCAATTTTTGTGTATCGTAATATTTTTAAAGCATATGAATGAGGATGTTTCCTGAAATAGTCCATTGACCTTATTTTCGTTCCAGTTTTTTTTGGCATTATGGCCTAAGTTTGAAAACGAGAGAGTTTGAGGTATTTTTTAATTCATCGGCGCTACGCGCATTTCGAGGCCGTGCGCATCGGGTTGGAGATTTTGTCCCGCTTCGTATCAAGGATGCGTGATTTGCGTGCTTTTGATAGCTAGCATGGCATTGTGTATACAGGAGCGGTAGGTAAATCCTAGTCGGTCACATTCATATTGATCCTGAAAGGCTTGGTTAGATCTACAATTGACCAAGAGCATCTCATTATAGCTATTACAGACTCTAGAAGACAGTCTCTAGATGTTGTTGTTTTTTCTTTCATTTATTAAACTTTGCTTGGTGATTATAATGTCAACTGGGCACAAAATCAAAAGTTGTAGGCTTAGGCAAGTTAGGGCTAGGGCCCCTATTTGATTTAACATAGACCCCTGCAAGTTGTAGATTTTGTTTCTGCATGAGAAAATAAATAATAAGCCTGCCCTAGTCTAGATCTAGAATCTAGACTTAGTTATAGATCTTGTCTCTGGAATAATCTAGTCTCTAGAGTGGAGCTAGAGTCTTGACTCTAGTGGAAAATATCAATTAAAGCCATGTTTATCAATTTATTGCGCAGACTCCTCGCAATTTTTTTTTCTTGCGAAATCATGAGAAATCTAGACTCTAGCATGTTTTTTCCTGAGGAATACCTAAAAGGTGTGAACTAAATTCATAATTTTCCAACATAAAAATTGTCTAGCATTTTGTAGCAAGTAAAACAGTTTAAATTAGAGGCCTAACGGTATAAAGCTATTGAGCTCTTCATATGCAGCCCTTATTCAGTATGTTGATAAATGAGGAGTCTGTGCAATAAATTGATAAACATGGCTTAAGATTAAATGATGATCTTGTGCCCAATTATCACCAAGCAAAGTTTAATAAATTAAAGAAAAAAAAAAAAATCTAGAGACTATCTTCTAGAGTCTATAATAGCTATAATGAGATGCTCTCGGTCAACTGTAGATCTAACTAGGCCTTTCAGGATCAATATGAATGTGACGGATTAGGATTTACCTACCGCTCCTGTATACACAATGCCATGCTAGCTATCAAAAGCACGCAAATCACGCATCCTTGATACGATGCGGGACAAAATCTCCACCCCGATGCACACGGCCTCGAAATGTGCGTATATAGCGCCGATGAATTAAAAAATAACTCAAACTCTCTCGTTTTCAAACATAGGCCATAATGCCAAAAAAACTGGAACGAAAATAAGGTCAATGGACTATTTCAGGAAACATCCTCATTCATATGCTTTAAAAATATTACGACACACAAAAATTGAGATGAAGAGTTTATAATAAATTTTGTACAATCTTACAACAAAATGTCAATTTCGGCGATTTTTGCCAAAATTATGGTTCATTAAAATTTGAATATACGTCAAGTTATCTTCAATGATTATTTAAAAACTATGTATCAAATTGGCAATATGAATATTCATTTGGGGGGAGGGGAACTTTCCTTTCCATAGTTTAGCTTGTATTTGATTGGTTGGGGGGTAAAGAGTGAGGTAATTATATTAGCATAATGTTATGTTCGGCTTTGTTTTTTAATCGCTTACGAGTGACGTCATAGCAAGCATGGCACCGCCCACCAAGCGCACGTACGCGATGCTAGTGAGAAACGTACGTGACCAACGTTAAGCCAACGTTGGCCCATTGTCGTATAGCCAACAAATATCCACCATTTATCAGTGAAAATGGCGACAATGGACCAACGTTCAGCCAACATTGGCCCAACGTCGAATAGCCAACCAATAGCCACAATTTATCAATACAAATTGCGAAAAACGTTAAAGGGATCGTTTAACAATGTTAAATATGAGATACACGGTCCTACATGTTACCAGTGTCTGTGATATGGTGTAATATTGAAGCCCTAAAAAAATCGCGCTTCAAAATGATCAAGAAGTGCCTCAAAAAAGTAAAAATATTTGAATGACCGGTTTTACCATACCGGTACTCGTTTTCCCCAATAGACTGTAGTGTTATGAAAATCGTCAGGTGAACGGTTTTCAAAATTTGTAATTCCAATCATCAATATCTTGATAATCAGACAGGCGATCGGCTTGTAAAAGTCATGGAGTTCCTGACTGACCTGAAGGTTTATAATTATCATTGCAGCATGAGCTAAATCAAGGATTATTTTTTAAAGGATCTAAGACAAAGTTACCGGATCCCTTAAGCCAACGTTGGCCCATTTCGAGTTGCCAACAAATATCCACCAAATTAACAGTAAAAATGGAGACGATGGACCAACATTCAGCCAACGTAAGCTCAACGTCGAATAGCCAACCAAAAGCCACCATTTATCAATGAAAATGGCGACAATGGACCAACATTGAGCCAACGATAGCCCAACGTCGAATAGCCAACCAAAAGACACCATTCATCAGTAATAATTGAGTCGATAGACCAACGTTCAGCCAACGTTAGCCCAACATCGAATAGCCAACCAAAAGCCACCATTTATCAGTGAAAATGGCGACAATGGACCAACGTTCAGCCAACATTGGCCCAACGTCGAATAGCCAACCAATAGCCACTATTTATCAGTGAAAATGGCAACAATGGACCAACGTTCAGCCAACAATGGCCCAACATCGAATAGCCAACCAATAGCCACCATTTATCAGTAATAATTGAGTCGATAGACCAACGTTCAGCCAACGTTAGCCCAACGTCAAATAGCCAACCAAAAGCCACCATTTATCAGTGAAAATGGCGACAATGGACCAACGTTCAGCCAACGTTGGCCCAACGTCGAATAGCCAACCAATAGCCACAATTTATCAGTGAAAATGGCGACAATGAGCCAACGTTAGCCCAACGTCGAATAGCCAACCAAAAGCCAACATTTATCAGTAATAATTGAGACGATGGACCAACGTTCAGCCAACATTGGCCCAACATTGAATAGCCAACCCAAAGCCACCATTTATCAGTGAAAATGGCGACAATGGACCAACGTTCAGCCAACATTGGCCCAACATCGAATAGCCAACCAAAAGCCACCATTTATCAGTGAAAATGGCGACAATGAGCCAACGTTACCCCAACGTCGAATAGCCAACCAAAAGCCAACATTTATCAGTAATAATTGAGACGATGGACCAACGTTCAGCTAACGTTAGCCCTACGTCGAATAGCCAACCAAAAGCCACCATTTATCAGTGAAAATGGTGACAATGGATCAACATTCAGCCAACATTGGCCCAACGTCGAATAGCCACCATTTATCAGTGAAAATGGCGACAATGGACCAATGTTCAGCCAACATTAGCCCAACGTTGAATAGCCAATCAATAGCCACCATTTATCAGTGAAAATGGTGACAATGGACCAACGTTCAGCCAACATTGACCCAACGTCCAATAGCCAACCAATAGCCACCATTTATCAGTAAAAATGGCGACGAAGGCCCAATGTTTAGCCAACGTTGGCTTGCCGACTGTGACCCTGCCAACCATGGCCAACGTTGGCCCAACGCCGTATTGTTATCTGGGTAGTAGTCCTTCAAACTTTGGGTCTACATTGACCACCTATACTGAAATCACGCTGGAGTGGACAGCCGTTCCTAATGCTGCAATCTACATTCTAAGCCGAAACCCAGGAAATAGTCAAGTTATGCCTAATCAGCCGAGCCATACCTTCACCGGCTTAAAGCCAGGCATACCCTACAGCTTTTCTATCATCAGCTCCCACGCCAGGGACTTTGACAGTGAAGAAGTGACTATCGATGCTTCCACAGGCAAGTACATGCAGCAAACCAAAGTGCTCGGCCGATTTTGGGGGCTCTCCTTGCAGGACTGCTGGTGTCACCAGCAGTCAACAATTATCTATTGATACCCGAACTGGCTGTTGTTCACAATTGCACAATACATATACCCCCCCCCCCCCCTCACCCCTTTAAACAAAAATGTTCTTTTGGATTTAGGGAGGAGGTCACAACCAACCCATGCCCCTTTAAGGTAAAGACCAGTATTGGAAACGCCCCAATTTAAAAAAATGAAATGGAAGCTCTTATTACCAATCATGTGAAAGAATATGTTTTGACTAATACATGATGATAACAATTTTGCCGGGAAACCCCCTACTAATTGATATATTTGGTAAATTAGTTTATCCGATTGGTATGTGAGAGATAAACGCACGTGTCGCGCACGTGTACGTAGTCCCATATACATCTTTCTGTGTACAGTGCTCGTAACTTTACGAAGACTGGGCCAAATTTCTTATCATTTAGATGATTCCTGAACCTTGCAGTACACACCAATTATTATATGCTAGATGATCAACCTTTTCTGATCGATTCCACAACGTTTCTTTCACAATGCAATCACATGACCATAACTGGTCTTTATCTGTAATATCCATGTTGTATCCTTATAAAACTCATAGCAGTTCAGAGTTCTCTAGAGGTGCTTCCTCTTCATATTGGCGACAATTTATTTTTCACTCATTTTGTTGTTTTAATAAGAAAAGATTTTTAAAAATAGAGAAAAATTACAAAAGACAACAACAAGAAATTGCCAATTTGTACATGAAAATAGTGATTACCGGTATGAATTTCAGCTGCATTGAAAATGGAGAAAATTCAATGATTGTTTTCAATTAAATTACTCTTATTCATGAATGGCACAATGTACCGCAATAGGAATGGGATATACTAAACTGATGTGTTAAAGATACAAGTCTCAGAAGAATGTTACCCTTTTTTCTTTTTGCTGTGTATCTAAACAAGGCTTAATGTGTCAAGAGAATAAATACTGTATACCAACACACCACTCAAGTTGTGAAGTAAAAGACCACACTGCCCTTATTCTATATGGATTGTTGCCTTTGTGTACTTCACTCATAGTAGTTCATTGTCTCATTTTAAAGATGTGTAAAGATTTTCTTTTGATTCAAATTATGAGGAATTACACTTGACACATGAGCAGAATAAGCAAAAAATCGGAAACAAATATTTGGAGCTCATTTCAATGAAGTACATTCTGGCATTCATGAATAAGAACAGTTGTGGTGTTTAGTAATCTAAGGTATCTTAGCGAAACATAGGGCAAGAAAAGACCCATCGGATCGCTAAGGGTGAAATAGTAAGTGATGTTGGTGAATAAACCAGTTTGTAGAAACAATCTGCTCATTAGCATTTAAAGGTTATTTGTACCAAAATTGTAAACCCAACGAGATAAATACTGGATACATGCTCATAAAAGTGTTATCATTATTAATTGATGCACAGGTGGTACATTCTATTAAACACAGGTGGAAGTATTACTACATCCATCACTTTGGCAATGATTATTCTAAAATTCACAAAGTGGGAATACTCCATCTGTAAAAGATCTGTTGATATTTGAAGTCATTTGTACTATGTGCTAACTATGAACTGGTCTATTAAGCGTTCTTATCTTACCTATTTGATTGAAAGTAGAGGTAGTATGTTGGCAATGAAGGTAGTCTATGCATTTACAAGCTACATATCCTAAGTGCTTTTACTTCAAAATGTAGATACCATTATATATTTTCAACATCAAGACCAAAAATAATGATAATAATGATTATAATGACGATAATAATAATTATAATTATAATGATGATAATAATGATAATGATAATGATTATAATAGCAATAATAATAATAATAATAATAAATAGTATATAATAATAATGATAATAACTAGAAATTTAATTCGTTATGAGGACGAATTAGGTGGTCTGTCTTCAATTCTTATGACAGATTTGAATATTTACTATATAGAGAAAGGGAGAAGTTATATAGACATGTAAACAATGATTATCATGATAGTAATGGGGATGATGATGATGATGATAATGATAATGTTAGATGATGATAATAACGATAATGTTAATGATGATGATAATGATGATCTTGATCATGATGATGTTGATGATCATGATGATGATCATGATGATGTTGATGATGATCATCATCAGACTATGATGATGAGGATGATGATGATCATGATCATGAGCATGATCCTGACATCTGATTGACAAAATGAGGGGACATTTAGATAGCATATGGTCTCAGCTACAACAAACTCAAAAATCAACAAAAAATAAACAGAAATAACAGCGATATTGCTCGCAAAAGACAGGAATGTAGAATCCAGATTTGAGAAAAAGTCATCTCCGATAAGGATTACACGCAAAAAGGAATGGATCAAGTGATAATAGGGTAATAGTAAAGTAAATATGGTTGTTTATTACATTATTTGCGATTCTACATGTTTTAATATTCAAAGGAGATGGTACAGTGAAAGGTCAAAAAGAAGGAAAAAAAGTGAAGACAAAAATTGTTGGAGACGCCCGGACTCGAACCAGGGGTCTCGATCGAGGTCGGAAGTCAAGTGCGTTACTGATATACCAAAACATTTCCCATAGTGATTACACGTTAACGGAAAAAAGGAATTCTCAAATCCCACTTTGCAAGTGAAATATGAGCATGATCCCGGCATCTGATCGAAAAATAAAGGACACATTTGTGATACCTTATTGTCTAAGCTACAACTTACTCGAAGCTCAGCGAAAACGAGGCTAAAACGACGCCGAGATATTGGTCGCGAAAGACGGAAATGTAGAATCCAGTTTTGAGAAAAAGTCATGTCCCATAGAGAATACAAGCAAAATGTGAAAAATTGACATGCCTCCTTTAATCGCAAAAATATGCCATGATGCCTTTGTCAAAATGAAAAATCGTGTCAATATTCACAGAGATACAATCAATTTTCCAAAAATATGTTGACGTCATAATATGCAATTTGAAATGTTGAGTTCGGAGGCCATTATAATGACGTAATGAGTTAATTGAGGGTCAAATGAGACACCTAATAATAATAATAATAAAGAAAAATCTTGACGAAATCAAAAGGTGATACGTCTACGTACGTATCACCTAATAACATAGTAAGCGTTATATCATGTTTCAATTAAAATGTACATCTCGCCATTTATCAAGAAATAAAACAAATTTGTCTCGATTTTGAAAGATTATTCGTTCAAGGTCATAATAATATTGCGACTGTTTCTTAAATAATTTGAAATGTAATACACTATTTTTACATTTTGTAGAGAATATAAAGTATTGTAAATATAAATGTAAACATGGTCAATATAACGTTATTATTTAAAGTGCTTTCTTGAAATTGTAATGTAAATTGGACATTCCCAAAACAAATTTGTGATTGATTCAACACTATCAAAAAATGTAATATACCTACCAACGAAATATTCATTTACCCTAAGAATATTATGTAATTTTTAAACTGAAAATAACACAATTTTTCTGAAATTGCATATTTAAAGGGAATAACGTACACTTTTTTCCACTCCATAATTGGTTCCAATAAAGTTGAGTTCCACTTTCTTTGTGAAATTGGAACTTGAATTATTTTATAAATGCATAATTTATGAATTAATTTACATATTTTAGTTTTCTTTTTCAACGTACCAATTAAATTCTAATACTGGTTCATATTCGAAATGGGAGCATTTGTAATAATATATTTCCTTTGAAAGGAAATGACGGATAAAACAGAATAAAACTCCATGAAATTACATCAAATATAGTATGTTTGCATAGATTCATCATAACTAAAAAAAAAGACCTTATTGTAATAAATGATAAATTTGTATTATGCCATTATTTATCCAATCAGACTTTAAAAAAACGTTCCCATTTATTATGATCTATAAGTTATTCCAAATAATTTGATTATGAATAAAATGATCACTTGGGTTCTCAAAAAAAGTAATATCACTCCAGGCTACTAAAATTTCTTTTATAAAGAAGTTACCAATTTTCATAAATTGCACTTTACTTTTTAAACTACAAGTTCAAAATATATCATAACCTAATTTCATCATATCAAATTTAAAAAAACATGTTCAGTTGCCTTTATTTTCTGTATTTAACATCCCATCACCCATGCGACCCTGAGTCCCTTAATAGTTGACAATAAATGTAACATGTTCAAACCCCCTTCATTGTAATCTGCTATAATTGTTTTCCGATTTATCTTGTCTGGTTAATTAACGATTCCAAATAAAAGAGTATATAATAGATTCAACTTCATGAATTAATAAATTCATTGGGTTTCGGTAATACTGATAAAATATAAAATAAGTTGGGAAATGGCAATTTTGTTTACAGTAATAATTTTACCCAATGGTTTTAAGTCTCTCATCGACCATATTCCCAAGATTCGTTTTAAAGTTTATAATATTGCAAAACATTTAACTTTTATAAATCATTCGAGTTCTTTGAAAAACGCACGCCTAATAAATACAATGGACTTTTAGAATATTTCAATTCTCTAAAATTTACATCTGGGGGTTGACTTTGTAATAACCAAGAGCTATAATTTCTGATTCTATAATCATCAAACAGTTGCCTATCTATATTTTTCTCAACTTTAGGTTCCATGTTTCTTTTATTTTGCCACTCTAGCCCACCTGCTATTAAAGGAATTTTTTTTAGTGTTGAACCTAAAAGTTAAACGTTGTTTTTCATTCTTTTAGAGATAAGGCTAACGACACCATTCACTTTTACTATGCAAGCTTCTCCGCAAAGCACAGAATCACAAACAGGACCTGGTATGGTATCAAGATATTATTCTGTTTTAATAACGACTGCAAAGACTTTCTACATGGCTTACTTCGAATCATTGGGTCTTTATTTATTATTTAACCATTATCTGTGATGCTACCTTGGTATTTCTAATTTATGTCATTCTTTTCACTACCATCCTAGTTCCCACAACAACCTCTTCACCTACTGTTTCTTCTCCACCAAAATCAACTTCTGCTGGAGGTTCTTCAATTTCCATAGTGGTAGGAAGCGCTGTTGGTGCTATTCTTGTGATTGTTGTCGTTATAGTTCTCATCATCATCCTTTACAAGCGAAGAAGGTTAGAGAGTTACCTTGTTCTTAACCTGTCTTTCTCATCAGTCGATTCTCATCGTATTCTTCCACGCAAGGGGCTAAAACCGTATGGTTATGAAAATACAAGCTGAATAAGATTGAACTTTATATACCAAAAATATTAAGTTATTTAATTCCTTTTGTTGTAATGTTGTCCAAAGTATTCCAAAGCATAACGCTTTTCAAATGTAATGGCAACCTGTTTAAAATACTTATTAGGTAAATTACATGTATTTCAAAAGTACCACACTAATTCCTACATCTCATGTTGACGTGTTTCTATATACCTATTTATCGGGAGTTGATGATTTTCAAATCATGTATTTCATTAAAGTAGATGCTCATTGAGTTTAAAAACTAACTTTATTTTCATTATTGCAAAGTTGAAATTTTGATTCGACAAGGTTATCAAAATTCAATGCTTGGAAACATTTGAAGTAATTATTATAAATAACAAAACGCTTAAATACAGCCCCGACATAGCACCTGAAGAGCTCTCCGAACGCTGCTGAGATGTGTGAGATCACAGGATGGACATGATTTGCACAAGCAGACGATGTCCCATGACATCTCACATTTTTCCAGTGCCTGTTTTTTCATCTTCTCTTGAGTTCTTTCACTTACTTCACTACCGTCAAGCTAAATGTATTATCTATTGTCTCACTCTAAACCCCGCGCATAGTTATATTTTGATGACAAATGCAGCGATACAAAAATAAAGGAATCTGTCGCTTGTAAACAAAATAAGACGCCATTGTATATTCAGCTGCACACACCGCGATATGTTCGGCGTTTCAAGAGGGAACAAATGCCGTCCTTAACATCATTCCGGGGTTTTTTCAATTTGAAAGTCTGTTTTTTTATAATTGTTAATTAACCCCTATCCTGTGTATTTCAAAACAAAAAAATTTAGTTATCAGTATCGGTTTTATATCCCCTTTTGAATGTTAGCTCTGTTAGCTTACCAGTTTCTAGGGATACATTAGTTGACATATTTGTGATTTTCTTTGAATTTCCACTTTAATGCAATTAATATATGCTTTTATATTGTTATTTTTCAGCAATGAATCAGCAACTTCTAAGTCTGAAGGGAGGGAGTCCAAATTGTCTCCGCAGTATGAGAACCCTGTATTTGATCAGTCACAGACAGACGCCCATATCTACCAAGACTTGAATACTATCCATACCTACCAAGATTGTAATAACGATGATCAGAGCTACGATGATACTGTCGACCCTCATACCTACCAAGAACCTGATCAAGAAGCTAACTACGAAGAATTGAATGATGCCAAAGAGAAAAATTCTGTCAACAGTACTATGATAAAACAATATGAAACATGAATACATGAGAAGAGGATAGATCCAAGTCCATCATAATAATTTTGTTTAAAAAAAAAGGTTTTTATAATTTTGAAAGGGCAAAATATTTCCAGTCTTTATTCATTACATAATATATGTCCATGTATCAATTATTCTGTGAAGATGAAAGCATGTTTTACAAATTATAATAAAATATTAACATTTATCTTAAAAACTGGAGAGAAAAAATCAATGCTGATGGACTTGGGCGCTTCCTCTCGTATATCCAAATAGAATACAAATATCCTCTTCATTGAAATTTGTTTTTTCTATTGCTATTTTCTGAATAATGTGATTAATGTTTAAGGACGAAAAGTTATCAAAATATATCATGGCTTATTTTCATCCTGTGCTCCTTCTTCGTTTTTACAATGTCTACTCGAGTTATTCCCAAATACCTTGATATCAACAATCAGTAGAACGATTCCCTTTGAAATACCATGGTTAGCAGAAGTCTGATAAATTCGGGTAAATAAAGTTGAAGACCTTAGGTCCCACCAAAACGTGAAAGTCAGGGTATGGGACTAGTTTCTTTATATGGATTCATTATACTGATCTTCCGTCATTGAAGCACTGTCAGTTTCTGAATAATTTGATTGATGTATTAAAAAAAAAAACTCTTACATCATGGAGCTACAAATAATTTTTTTTTTTTTTTTTCGAATATTGTATTTTTTTTCTTCTGCAGAGGTGTCTGATGATAACGATTTTAGTAATATAAGATATGTTTTGAATGTTTTGATGCAAGCTTTAAAAAAAAGGAAAATTTAATGAGTCATGTATATACACGTATGCCATAAAGCACGAAAGCATATTCCATCATGTTAATCGTGTTTTGAGATATTGGTAAGAAAACTATTATAAAATTACTCTACTGTACTTTTTGTCTGTTGATTGCTAGTGTCGTTCCCTGTTATTTCTGGTTGAAAGCATTTTTCCTACTACTACTACTACTGCTATTGTTGCTACCAGGGGCGGATCTACGGGGAGGGGTTTAGGGGGTTTAACCCCCCCCCCCCCTGTGTTAGTAGATGGAAAACATCATTTACGGGGGTTCAAAATAGCAACAACAAAAAATCGCCTCGACGCTATGCGGCTCGTGTGGACGATATTGTTTTAACCCCCCCCCCCCCCCCCCCTTAGCAAAAAGCTAAATCCACCCCTGACTACTACTACTACTACTTATACTAAGCAGTGGAATTCAAGTTTATTAATAAGTTGTTATGATGTAAACACTGAATTGTAAATATGAAAATGTAAAAGACATAGACTATGCACAATAAAACCAATGTGAAAGCATTGTGTTATGTAAGGGTGGATGTTTAGGTAAAAATGTAAATACATGTAGTAGAATCAAAAGTCAATAAGTAGAATTAGAAAATGCAATCTAAGTCAACATTAGTATATAACCATATGAGCAGGGGATGCTTGAGCACATAATATATGTGAATAGTGATGACAAGAATTATAGAACACAAGGAATATAAACAATAAAAATACAAAAAGAAAAAAAACGACTTATTTTGGTTTTTGTGTAAACTCGTAAATTGCTCTTTGAACGTTCTTTTAACCAAAATAATTTGTGTGATTGTTTAAACAGTTTAGAATTAGGCAGACAGCGCTAACCAACAGTATCAAGCCAGATTACTGTACGGTTAAATTAAGAACATTCTGACATGTTGCCTTTAATTGAAGTTTTCACCACGATGATGTCATCAAAATGAAAAACAATGAGCACTAATATTGTAGAGAATTGTCTCAGCTACAACATATCTAAGTTTGGAAGTAAATTAATCAATATTTACAGAGATACAATAAATTTTCCATACATATGATGACGTCATAATATGCAAATTGAAATTTTTAGTTCGGAGGCCATTATTATCACGTCATGAGTTAATTGAGGGTCAAATGAGACATGAAATCATATCTCCGACTCATAATCTATCCAAATATGAAGAACAAAATTGGGGGGTATCTATCTATTCTGAAGAGTTACAATGAATTTTGTATAGGCATGTTTTTGCACATGTATTGTGGATAAGGATAGCGCAGGTCCGCGCGTACGTTCAACTTTGACGGACGCTCATTGCGTTATTACTTGTCAGAAAAAAGTGAACAAGGTATCAAAATGCTTGAAAAAATGTGTCAAATACGGTGACAGAGCAAATTTGGCGATTCTATGTTAAAAAATGCCATTACGCGTGGGTACGCGCGGAAACGCGCGCGCATCAGTGCGTGCGCGCAAATTTTGAAAATGCTTAAAATGGCCTGAAACGTGTGCAAAAAACATTTGGGACGAATTGGGGCATTTTGGGGGCAATTTTGATGCGCGCGTGGATTTTGTTGACAATTTTTGTTGACCTTTGACCTGAAGTTGACGTATACCAAATATGGTTGATTTTTGATGACTCGTTATCGATATATGATAATGATCTGATTTTTACAAAATGGCGCCTGGATGACGTCACGATGACCCCATGACCTTGAGAAAGGTTTTAGGAACTTGATATAGGGCCTGATGACTGACAGAAATTTGAAGGAAATTGACTAGTCGATTTCGAGTAAACGTGTACACAAAAAAGTGTACGGAAGAAATAAAAATAAAAGAAATAAATAGAGAAAGAAAATTCTGACGAAATCAATAGGTGATCTGTCGTTGACAGACCACCTAATAAAGAAAGAAAATTCTAATGAAATCAATAGGTGATCTGTCGTTGAAAGACCACCTAATAAATAATAAATAAATAAAGAAAGAAAATTTTAACGAAATCAATAGGTGATCTGTCATCGACAGACCACCTCATAAAGAAAGAGGAACAGAGAGAGAGAGAAAAAGAGAATTAGAGAGAGAGGGAGGGGTGGGAAGGAATAGGCAGAGTGGAAATATTGGGGAGAAGGGGTTTGGGAAAGGCAAAATCAAAAGGTCATTAAGAAACTGAGATTCATAATAATGATGATAATAATAGTGAATATTATTATTATAGCACCAATGATAATGGTAATAATACTATTAATCTGGTTTATATGGAGCGTAATACATCGACAATGTCTCTAAGCGCTTTACAAGTATAGTTATAGAGAGCTGGGCAATCGCATATCAATAGAGAATGAAAAGGAGAGATAAAGTGAGAGAGTGAGAAGGGTCGGGTGAAAAGTATTTTTTTATTGGGAACACTGTGACAACGTAGATAAAAGTAAAGAGAACAATCCTGTGAAAATAAAGAACATGTGTTTGCTAAAGTTTATTACATTTTGCATTGTGAGAGAGTGTACTTTGATCTTGCTAATATTGTATCTCATCGATATATTATTTATCTTGGCTTATTGGTTAAATATATATAGAGAGTATAAAACTTGTGAAGTATCAACAGACATTACATGACAGAGACTCTCATAACTCAAAAACATCACGTATGGTTCTTCATTGAAATAGGGTGTCCCTAAAAAAAGAAAAAGGAAATCGAGACCCAGATTTGTAGGTAAATATTTCAATAATTAAGTACTATTTCTTTGGTACATCATCATCATTGTAAAGCGCCTATTCCGTTGCTTATTATTATATCACCCATTACGATATAAGGTTTCATGTTTTGTTTTTGTTAAACTTCATTGATGTACATCAATGATCTGTTTATAAACATATACATAATATAAATCAATTTACAATGCAATGTAACAAATCAATATTCTTTTTGGTAAACATACATATCATGTAAATCAATTTACAATGCTGTGTATACACATAGCGAAACATAAGGACAATGATATACAGCAGAAAAACTTTGTTTTATTCTTGTAATAACATGACACATAATGCATGAAGTAAATAAAATAATGTACCATAATACATCCGAAGATTTAGATATAAAAACCTAATATAGCAATTTTCTAAATAAATTATAACTCATGCTATACGAAATAGGTAAATGAGGTACTTGGAATGCAAAAGATATTCGTTTCGTCTAAAATAAATGACGTATTACTACTTGTACATATATGCGACCTACTATCAAATTAAACCAACAAAATGAGATTGTAATTTTTCGCCTTGTCGTTTAATACATTAGGTCGAATTCATATAATAAATATAGAGAAAATAAAAGGGTTGTATACTTATCTTTAATCAAATTGTATAATTTGTTTTCTTCTACTTTTGTGTTACATATAGTATCCAAAAGTTACCCCTCACTGCAATTATGTTTTTGGTGAACGAAGAGAAAATATCTATTATATCTTTATTGTCTAATCTCCGATATACATGATTTTTTTCTTTACATTCCAAGACACTAAAATTTTCTCCCAAATTGCAATTAAAAAAAAAAAAAAAAAAAAAATTCTCGTAAATCTTTATATTTATCACATTTCATAATTATATGGAATTCATCTCCTACTAGATTCATATTGTAGTCTTCACAGAATCGTAAATAGATTAGGGGCGTTTTTTCTGGTCTTTTATATCTTCCCATTTCTGTGTGCGCTCATTCGTAGTTTGGTCATTTAAATTTATATTTGGTAAATGAGATAAATACCTTTTTTGCTTGATTGTACTTTTAAATTGTCTGAAGGTGCTGAATTTATTTCCTTTATGGGTATTCCTATCATCAAAAAAAAATCCAGTTTTAATTGTTCATAAATTCTTCTTTCCAAATTAAGCCTTATGACATAGCTTGACAGTTTCTTTTGGAGAAATTGGTATATTTTAAGGGTTCAGTACGGTCTCATTTCCATTATCATGAATATTCAGTGAACTAAAGATATCCCGGATTGACATCAACCCATTATTACAAATTTTTTGTTTTCTTCAAAGGATTTATAGACAAGGTCATTTTAATCCAAATTTCGTATTCGTTTCCAATATCTTTTTTAGCGTGTTTATTGCCTTCCAATTTTGGATGAAACTGCTAAATTGCTGTATCTGCGGTTTACCCCTATGATATTTTACAACACTGAATGTGTACCTTCTCAAAATCGATTTCATAATAAAGTCCTGTTTTCCCTGTTTCTATTTGCATCAAAAAGGTGTAATAGGGTTTTAATACTGGGCGTATAAATACCGAAAGATTTATAAAGTTTAAATAATGCTGTCCCGGCCTTATCCGCTAAGTCCCTTGTCGCCGTTTTAAACGATCCATTATTACTAAAAACAATGCCTGAATATTTCATTTCCTTTGCCGAGCTAAGTTTTACCCCGTTTATTTCAATTTCACTGTTATCAATAAACCTGCCCGACTTATTACATATCATTATTTTAGTTTTGAAGACATTAATATTAAACATCCAGGAGTTACAATATTGAGTAAATTTATCGGGATTTGATTTGATTTGATTTATTTTTCCACTCAAATATCCACAAATTAAAATGACATAAACATACAATATTACAATATATAATAGAACAAATGAATTATACAACAGTATTGTATTCAGTTGGAGGTCGAGGTGGCGCCCTCTTCAAAATATTGGTTAAGCATTTGCCCAGCAAGAGGGGATTTAGAAATAGTTGCGAGTTCATCTACATACATTATGCAGTTCAAGTCCTTGTCATTTAGCGTTATGTGTTCTGTAACTGAGGTATGAAAAATATCTACACCATCATTTAAAAAAATGTTGAATAATGTCGGGCTAATGACACCCACTTGTTTTAACATCGGCGCCCTCATCTAGTTTTACATTTTTAATACATGTCATATAGCACTCTCAGAAAATTACAATGGCCCGATATCTTGTTTTAACATATCACCAAAGACCATCACTCCCTTCATGCAATGTTAACATTATGGAAAAAGTGAGTTTAAGTATTTATTAATTCAGAACTTAACCTGGGTTTCTCTTTTTTGAGACACCCTATAGGGTTTCAAAAGTCCAGGGGTCCGTTTCATAAAGCCTTTTTCTAATGACAAATGACAAAAATCAGTGACAAATCTGCTGATAACCAATCAGAAGCAAGGATTTCAGTAGCTTATAACGAAAACTATCATTTGTCACTGATGGCAAGTTTTATGAAACACCCCCCACGTATTTAGTCGATGCTAACCATGGGAAGTTGTTCGCATAGACATGGCCAAAGCGGAAGTCAATTCGATGTTGATCGACATGACATGAACAGCATGACATGAACAGTATCTGGGCGAACAACCTTCTTCATTGCCAAACAGTAAACCAACATTGGTCCTCTCTTTCATGTAGTTCTGCCCAAGACGCTGATATTATGAAAATCTGAATAAACTGCTTGTTTTCGAAGTAGCGACGCCATAGTAAACTGAAGACCATGCAATAGCCTATATTTTTAACAGGATAAAGAAGTCTAAACATACCTTACCAACTACTGCACTCTCGTGTATATGGAATACTGTGGTATTATCGATTTGGGTGAGTAGTATTTGTGCAATATTATATCATATGGTAGTTTACGTACAAGCAGATGCACGCTTTCTTAGCAGTCAGGTAAGCCTAGCAAATCGACCAACCAACTTCCAAATTGAACAGTATGTATGTTGTATTACTGATATCGAATGGTCAGGTTAGATCAGAGACGTGGTTAGCGCATGTCCCAAATGACCCCGAATATCCATTTTGAAATTATCATCACTCCTATATCGATGGAGGTGCTACATAAATGGCGTTTGTGCATAAATGAATAATGATCTTAAACCAGGGGCGGATCTAGCTTTTTGCTCAGGGGGGGGTTGACCAATAATGACGATGCGGAGCATCGTCCACGAGCCGCGAAGCGGCGAGCCGATTTTTTTGGGGGTGTTTATTTGAACCCCGTAAGTGATGTTTTCCTGGCATCTATTAACACAATGGAGACCATAAAAAGCAGTGCATGATAACGTCTTTTTAAATCAAGTAACAGTTAAATACACAGTTATATCCAGAGTTATCATGTGTTTGGTTAAGTTACCAGATGAGTTGAATATCTTCTCACAATATTTGCACTTGAAAGGGTTTCTCTCCAGCGTGCGTTCTTTTTTCTTTCTTTTTTTCTTTTTTTTTTTTTTTCTTTTTTTTTTTTTCGATTTTTTTTTTTTTTTTTTTTAATGTGGGGATTTTGGGGATGAGAATCGGCAACGCTGGCCTAGCTTGTCACTTCGGCGGTGGCCCGTGTCCTCAAAAAAGCTGATGGGGGGGGGGGGGGGCAAGGGACTCTGTGACATTTGTTCGCCCAACCCCCCCCCCCCCCTCCCCCCAAAAAGAAATAATAATAATAATAATAATAATAATAATAATAATAATAATAATAATAATAATAATAATAATAATAATAAATGAAATAAATACATAGAAATAGAATAAAATAAAATTACAAGTTTAAAAAAAAAGATAAGATTTAAAAAAATGGTCCCCGGATTTTTTTTTTTTTTTTTGGGGGGGGGGTTGCAACCCCCCCAACCCCCCTCCCCCCCCCCCCCTCTAGATCCGCTTCTGTAAACTCTCATGAGCACGTATCCAGTATTTTGTATCCGTGTGTTTTACAATTTGGTCTGCAATGACCTTTATCTGCTCATGCTCAAAGTCTGTTCTCTTCATGGTAGACGTCTCCTTAACAAGGGTCGAGAGAAACCCTTTTCACTGAATAACATTCACTCTGTTCGTGTCCCTCTCTACTCATATTGATTTCTAAGTGTTAGCTCTTTCGCTACCAAACTACACGAAGGAATCCCGACTTCGGATTTTCGAGTTATTATTACCACTAAACTTCGGAATTATCGGAGAAAGAAACAGAGGAAGGAAACGGAGATGATGACATCATTCCTAAACAGGGCGTTTACTTTAAGAGTGGTGTAGCCGTATTTATCGTCATGATTTATTTGAGCTTGAGTTTATTCATATTATACACTGTTAAAAAGCCTGCCATCAGCAAGTCAGCCGAGAAATACTTTTCAGCACGGCCGTGATAAACTATATGACATACAAATAGAAAATATCAATTGAATATAAAAAATTACTCTATAAGTGTAAACATAATGAAGTGTATATAACCTTTGCGAGATAGCTTATCGTTTTGGGTCTTTAAAGGGCAATTCAAAATATGTCATATGCTGAATTCTGACTTTCGTCTTTCAATCATAAGGTCGTGAGTTCGAATCCTACTCCAGGATGTAAATTTCTTTCAGCAAGAAATTCATCCACGTTGTGCTGCACTCCACCCAGGTGAAGTAAATGGGGACCTGGTAGGAATTTATTCCCTGAAACGCAGAGCTCGTGACAGCTGCTCTACTAAAGCCAGGGTAATGCTGCATTATTCTAGAGTGCTTAGAGACTTCTGATGAAGTTAAGTGTTAGGCGATATAAGCAAATATAACTATCATGAAATAAATAAATATAATCTACTGCGCTTCCCTTTAAGTTTTATATTTGTATTGAGAGCATTAACCAGTTCAGTCTAACTGAAATCACACAGGCTGCACACATCTATGGCTATTATGAGACTAGATTCAAACATATGGCTCCGTTTAGTCTCATTTCACAACGCCACCTATCGTCAGAGCATGGTCAGATTCAGCAGCCTAACATGTTAGCCTATGGACGTTTTTTTTTTTTAATCGTTACAAATTCATTTTTTGTTTAAACGAAAAGCACATCCACCCCGACGTACGTTATCACTAGCTCTTTCATTGGAGCCCTCATGTCTCACTTTTGAAATTTCACCCACCGTAATTTTTCAAAATAGGTTGCAAGCTCGTCATTGCCTATAATACACATGTGAAACAAGTCTAACTTTGGACTCAGTTTACCAAGCGATTTGAAGATTATAGGTCGAGCACACGAAACATAAAAAGCATGAATTATCATAGATCACTTCTGCCTATTTCGTTTTGTCCATTTCATCCAACCCCCACCGTAATTTTTCCATTTAGTAAAAGCAAACATTTTGCCGAGTTTAGCAAAAACATGAATATTCATGAACGGTCAGACAATACAGCCTTTCAGTACGTAACGTATAGTGAATGGGAATGTGCGATGATCCATGTAGGAGGTAGAGGTCAGTGGTTTGTGCTGGCAATGTTCACGCGAGCGAAAATGAGACAATCGGAGCAATATGTGTGACAGGAAAGTTTGGTCCACTCTTTTCATCTGTTTCTCCTCATATTTCGAATATAATTAAGGGCATTTGAAGAATAATTATTTTCCATAGAAAATCACAACTAAATCATTCATAACCCTTGTAAATTTGGTATATTTTTTAAATGGGGTTTTTCGTGATTCAAAAATAAAAGGTGGACTGGTTTAATTGGGGCTTCGTTGAATTATTTTAGATGTTAGCTTCATATCACAATTTCAAGAAACTTAAATCTGGACAAGTTAATTGTTCACATACTTAAAAAAATGTCACAACTTGTTAAGGGTATGGATGATTTAGTTGTTACCCGAATGTTCTTTCGTACTCTTTACAAAGAACAATACATATCATGAATTGTTCTTCATCTTAATCGGAACGTAAACATTATTTAAAACCTTTAAAAACACCTTTTGGTACGAATAAAAATGACTGATCATTTCATAAATTCGCTTTCGTTCTTTCTGCCTGACTCCGACCATGATTTTAATGAAGGCCGAAGACAACAGTCCGGATTCTTTAAAAATGGAAGAAAGATCCACCAAAGACGGATTAGTTCACGAAGATTCGACGGAAGCAGGGGAAAATACTAGCGAGCAAAGGGAAGATGACTTTCAAGAAAGATGCTTGAAGGTAGAATCATTAATATCCAGTATAAATATTGAGTTACACATTTCTGCATCTAGGCATCGTTTCACAAAACCGTCCTGAGTACAAGTTCACCGACAATCCATTGGCATGAGTGACATTTTAACACGCGTTTCCAAGGGATGTCGTTTAACTTGTACTTACGTATTGAACGTGAAACGATGCCTAGTGTATGATTGTGCTTTAATTCTCCCTTGTCAAACCAATGAGACAGACACGGACCGAAAAAAGAAAAAAAATTAAGTACCACTTGTACATCCACATATACGTTTGTTTATTCACATACATACACAAGAACATAAAGAACACGTTTCACAAAGGAAATACATTTATATACACATTTAAAGATAAACTTGAGTTATGGTTAAAAAAAAAAAAAAAAATTAATTATCACAGAATCTAACAAAACTTACACTGAATGTTCAAGATTACAAATAAATGTTATGTGCCAAACAATTTTGGAAGAAAATGTATACTGGCTAAGTAATGGGCATAGAAAGATAAGGAAATCAAGGTAGTACTAGCCCCGACACCATTTTTGTGTACAGTGGTTGCTACTTTACCAAGACTGGGCCAAATTTTGGATGATTTTGATGACTCCAGAATCTTGCATTACACACCAATACTTACATGCTGTATGATCAACTTTTCTGATCCATTCCACACCTTTTCTTTCACAATGCAATCGCAGTACCAGAACTCAACTGTATCTTTAAACTTAACGGATTTCATTTTATACCTTAAATAAACATCACAAGTTATTTCTCCTTTACCGAAGCGACATCACTTTATGTCTTTACATCCCCAAACACAGACAATCTTCAAGAAAACGGCAATGTTTACTTCGTTCTTCAAAAGGAACAAGTCGATCCTAAAGAACGCCCTCATTCTAGTACTGATATGTCTTTATGCCGCCTACCTCATCGTCGCGTGCATCAAGGACTTAGAAGCCGCCATCATCCTCGTCGCCCTCACCGGCGTCACCGTGGTCGTGTATCTGTATATTCTCATCCGGGATACAAAGGGGGAAGCCATTAATAACAGGTGTATGAAACCGGTGTGGAGGGTGATTGAGAAGAAATGGACTACATAAAATGGTGAGTCAACGGACCGTAGATCAAATGGATCCTTTCAGTCGTTCCACTACTGTTCGTTGGCAAGGCATTAATCTACGTATGCCTCTCTTCACCCATGTACAGGAATTGGACACATATCCCAGTAGTTGGAAGTAATCCCTTATGAGGTTTGCCCCTTAAGAATTAGTGCCGGTCAGCTAAAGTTATGTATAGTGCTTTGTAGGTGCCTTGATCATCCCCTCCGGTTCTGTACCATGGACTAAGAGTGTTGTTTACATTAAGCATTAATAGCATTTATTGTATAAGATATATCGACGTGCTTCTTAGAAGCGTTTTTAACATCGGTGGAAGTAGACAGATTTGAGTTTCAGATTTGAGGATGCTTAAGGTTTGCAAACATTTCAAATTAGTTGACTGTAAAATTGATATACATGTAAAATATTTTACTAACGCTACTTGATTTGCATCATAACAAGTGGAGCGGGCATAAGATTTGATTTTCATTTCTTATCTGACAGGCCTTTTATTGCTGCGTCACTAGTGGGATTTGGAGTTGTGCTGTACCTCGTAACTAGACATAATCCCACTCAGCTAATATCATTCGGCGGGCTAGTCATTCTCATTTTAATCTGCTACGCCTTCTCAACATGTCCAAGCAAGGTAGAAGCCACATTTTTATTTTTCAATTGTTTTCAAATTCCAGTTTATACAAAATGAGCCATATGGATTGAATAAATGTGAATTAGTAATAAGATTTCTCAGCTGGATGAGCACCATTTCTCTATGTTATGTGTTGACGGAGTTCAACAAAAAGACCACGTTTTTAATGTATGTCCAAATAATCTTTAACAAATCTGACAAGCAACACCAATCACCGACAGAATAATGAAATGTTACATTTTAAGGGGGATCTAGAATTTATTGATGTGGGTACGAGGACTCGATTGGGTATTTTGCACCTTTTTTTTAAGTGTGAAGGTTTTTTTTCCTGGAAGACGTCACCTTCCCAAATGTGCCCCTTCCTGCATGCGCCACTGCGAAGTCAACTTTACTACCCTTTCTTTGGTTTTCTTAAATAATCTCATTGACAAATTTGTTTTAAACACAGCTAATTTTTCGCATGTTCTTTGTTTTTTAGCATGTTGATCAAATGCAGATAATGTTTATTAAGTGCCAATATGGACTTTTAGATTATTTTGCACGTCGACATAGTGGACTGCCACGTGTGACGTCCTTTTAAGTCACCGTTACTTCCTTTTAAGGCACTGTCAGTTCCTTAAAAGGACGTCACACGTAGCTGTCCACTATGTCGCCGTGCAAATCTTAAAGTCCCTGTTATCATTATTATGTGACCGCTCCTTATTTCACTATTTTTTACCTTTTTTAATTACAGGTGAGGTGGAGACCAGTCATATGGGGACTTGTTTTGCAGTTTCTGCTAGGATTCTTCGTTCTCCGTACCTATGTCGGGTTGATTATCTTCGAGTGGCTCAACAACGTCATCGTACGGTTGTTCGGTTACTCCTCGGCGGGGGCGCTCTTCCTCTTCGGCGATGACTATCGGGAGCATTTCTTCGCATTCGCTGTACGCTCCTTTCTAATTTTAATCAAATAGATTCGAAACTTGTGCTTTATCCCAAGTTTGGAATCGTCATCGCGAAAGTAGTAACTTAAAGCTATAAGGGCAATCCAACCTTGAAAAAAAATCATTGCATGAAAGCAGAAAGAGAAGAAACAGAACGGTGAAAATTTGAAATAAATCCGCCCAATAACGAGAGATATGAATTCTCTAAATACAGTATATGGGAATCCTCAAAGTAGCAATTTATCAGTAAACTGTGGTGTAGTCAGGGACAACCATATTCGTTGTCGTGTACAAACATATAACTTATATCTGATTTCTCCTGAACACATTATTCCTTGAGGCACTCCTCTAAATAAATTATGGATAAAGTTATCACACGTTCTAGGGAACTCAATAAAGAATCATGATACCTCTTTGCATGCTCTAGTCTGCACCTCGTATCGTACGAATATCGTACAACTGGGCGTGGCTTATAGTTTGTGCACACTTTTTTATAGTCTGAACAGGCTGTCAAACAAGAACTGGCAATATTTGCCGAATTTTGATTGGTTGGTCGTCTTAAAAGGAGATGGTTGTAAGTTTCCACGTGCAGTAGGTCATAATTAAATCGCTGACACCAGACTTGGTGGAAATACCATTGATGGGTGTACGAGTCTCGCACACAGCGAACCCGTGGTCCCATCATCTCTCGGAGAGTCTTCGGGTGAGGGAAATGTAAGATATTGACTTTTATAGATGGCGTATTGGTGGAAAATGAAGGGCACTACATAAGGCCTGTTGGCCATAAAACTGAAAGCTAATCCTAATTCTGTTTGACAAAACTTGTTATTGTGTAAACACCCGGAAGGTGTCGAATCTCCCATGAAAGCCTACTACTATGTATGCGTCTTTAAATGCATCGTTTAACAATGTTAAATCTGAGATAGATGGCCCTACGTGTTATCAGTGTCTGTGATATGGTGTAACAATGAAGCCTTAAACAAATTGCGTTTCAAAATGATCACGAAGTGCCTCAAAAAATGTATTTTAAAAGAAATCTTTGAATAACCGGTTTTACCATACTCCTTTACCCCAATAGACTGTAGTGTTATAAAAACCGTTAGGAAAACGAATTTTTAAATTTCGATTTCTAATTATAAATATCTTGAGAATCAGACAGGCGATCGGCTTGTAAAAGTCGTGGGATTCCTGACTGACCTAAAGGTTAATAATTATGATTGCAGCTTGAGCTAAATCCAGGATTTGTTTTCAGAATCTGAGACAAACTTACCCAATCCCTTTAAAACTGCAGGTACTCCCCATTGTGTTCTACTTCAGTGCCCTCATCTCTGTCCTGTACTACTGGGGAGTCATGCAGGTCTTGATTCAAAAGATGGCCTGGCTCATGCAGAGAACCATGCAGACCACAGCCATTGAATCCATCAGTGCAGCAGGGAACATCTTCTTTGGCATGGTAAATATGCACAGGGGGGGGGGGGGTTCACAAAGACTAGGGTCGACTTTTAATTGGACTTAACTATGTCAGGCCATTCATGCCACTAGTTTCGTTAACCATTCCTGGCATTGGTTTCTCAAGAGACGTACAAAATCTACAGAATTTACGCTTTTTGATAGTTCATTATTGACAGGAAGAAATATTATCTAAAGATCATAATTGAGAGACCAATGGTGATAGCAACCAGTGGCATGAACAGCCTGTCATAGTTAAGTCCAACTTTAAGTCGATCTTAGACTTTGTGAAACACTCCTCAGGATTTTCTTCGATGGTTATAGAATTTTTACTATTTTATACTTTTGTTTGTTTTTGTTCTCCCTACATTTTTGCAGTATCTATCACTTTCTTAGCAGATACTAATTATCATTATGGCTTTAGTTTGTCTGGAATCGTCTAGGTGCACTTTTCCTGAAGTCCATTTATCATCTTCTGAACCCTCTTTTGTAAAGTTGTGTTAATCGATCCAGACTGATCCACAAGCCGTCAAATCAATCGCAAACTAGAAAACCCCTCTCTGTTTAGTACAAAGTTTAGATTGTTTATTAATCAATCTCAACTCTTTATAAGACGGGTCTGATGTGTAAACCGGTTGAATATCACGACATGAACACTGCTTTTGAAATACATTTGGTCGAGAGAAAAATTGTTTTAAAAATCCGTAAATGCACGTGTCTTTATTCGCCCTCTCTCGACAGCGTTAACGTAATAGCTCTAATGCCTAGGTCACATTTGCCGCGGCGGCCGTGCGGTCTAAAATATCTACGGCCAGTAGCAATTATAGGACCGCCGCAGCATTCCCACGGTCACATACGGTAGCGGTCACATAATTATGTTACGGTAGCCGAACGGCGTATATTGCATTTGTGGAGACAGAAAATCAGCGACTGCCATACGGTCTTTGAAGAGATGACACACGGTCGGTTTACGGCGTCCCTGCGGCGATTTGACAAACGCTAAGCCATACGCAAGGTAGCCGCCAGGTGCCCAAAAGGCTGCCGAAGGGGGACCATACGGCGACCGTGCGGCCAGACTGTTGCTACTGCCTCACCCTTACCGTACGCCCGACGTACGGTCGCCGTGGAACCGCTCTACGGCATGGCTACGGCGTGTCTAATCGCTACGGTGAACCTACAAATGAAAACAGTTATAACTCCGCGTTATAATCCCACGATGACCCGCACGGCCTGTAAAGATAGGGGATCTTCCTATGGTGACCCTGAGGCCACCGCAAATTCTCCGTTCAGCCGCCGCAAGTATCTCTCGATTTCGGGGGCATACGGCCGCCGTAACCTAGCCGTAGAGCAAATGTGACCTAGGCATAAAGCACTATTTTTGACGACAGCGGAATACCTCTATTTTGTCCTGACTGTTTACAGAGCGAGTCTTCGGTGATGATTGCGCCGTACCTGGATGTAATGACCAAGTCCGAGCTCCACGCGGTCATAACTGGTGGTTTGGCCACGGTAGCGGGCGCCACGCTGGGTGGCTACATCTTCGCGGGGATCGACCCCTCCCATCTGATCGCTGCCTCGGTGATGTCGGCGCCCGCCGCGCTGGCTATATCCAAGCTGGCATACCCGGAGACAGAGCAGTCGAAACTCATCACAGAGAGTGATGTAGAACTTTCGAAAAGGTACAAACATTAACAATAAAATAACGAGAACGACCTTAAATGAAGACAATCATATAGAATTTCGGGAAGAAAAAAAACCTTAAGGCCTTGTGCGTCAACTATTGAAGTAGTAAAAAAAAAATAATAAAGGCGTATTACGTAATCTTATCATGACTTCTATGGGAAATAACATAGAGAGTATTCAAATTGCCTTGAATCGATTTTTTTTTTATCGTGTTCAATTCCATTGCGTGTTTCACGCAATGGAACTATTAACTATGTTGAGAGGGGGTTAATATCGATGCTCTCCAACCTTTCATTCTTTCTCAAACTTGATCTCCCTTCGAAATCCTCTATTTCTCTCTTTGTCTCTCTATAATAATAATAATAATAATAATAATCCGTTTTTTTTTATGTAGCGCTCAATACACCGATCCAACGATGTGCCTAAGCGCTTTACAGATATATTATTACCCCGGTCATCGGATTCAGGCTTACCCACACACAATGTGTGCACATTTTCCACTCCCTGGGGAGCATTCCAGCCAGTCGCCATTTTACAGGCGCACACTTGCTCGTCCAACAACATGAACGTTCGTATCCTATCTCGGTGTGATTACCGTGGTGTGTGTAATTTTTTCCTGATTATCTACGTTGTCTCTTCACACGTTTCCTCCTTAGTTTCTGAGTTTCTTCCAATCTTTGTCATCAATTTTCTTGTCATCCTTTGTTCTAGAACTGAGCGAAACGTAGTTGAAGCAGCAGCAAATGGAGCGGCGATGGGCATATCACTTGTCCTCAACATCGCCGCCAACCTAGTGGCCTTTCTCTCCCTCCTTGCCCTCATCAACGCACTCCTCGGGTACTTTGGAGGGCTCATCGGTTATCCTCGGTTGACCTTTGAGGTAAATCAATCAAAATCGGCTGAATGACATATATTCTCCGTCGACAACTGCTTCGTGGTCGGCTTACTTCGGATCATCAGGTCATCTCGTCCCGACCTTTTGTGCAAATATGCCTCTTTATTCACCAAATATCTGGGGTAATCTTTGTGAAATAATACACCCTCTCATCTAATGGTTTGTTCCAATTTACCCGACAGTTTGTGAAAACCCTTCGAAAATCTGAGCAAGTTCGCGTCCTTAAAGGTACTATGTCCCTTTTGCAGCCAACCTCAAATTCTGTAGAACTTTGCAGGAATTATGAATATGTCATGTATGTCCTATCTGTGAAATTTAAATGTTAACAGTGTCCTCATATTCAAATTATGCAAGGAAACCCGTTTACTTGCTAGACTTCACTGTCAGACACTATTGAGTGACTGACTGGCTTTTTCTTTTTGGTAATAACATACATGAAAAGAGTTGTAAAGGGTACATGAGCAAATTGTCTACATCAATAACCCACTTGTTGTGATGGCCAAGATTAAACTGATTGAATCTTTGCACAGCATAAAAAATATGACCATTCGGTACAATTGTCTGAAAATCAAGACTATTACTTTTGGGCTCTATAGCCCTAAAGTAGATTTGACAACTAATAGTCATTATTTTCCCACTTGAAGACATTTTCAAGCCCCACCTTCTTTAGGGAAGTTCTAAATTAGTATTATCTTTCAAATGCAGTTTGAATTTAACTTTTTCATTTTTTTGGCCTGCAAATGGGACATAGTACCTTTAACGTGCATCTTCACATGCTGAGTTCCCGTTTTGGTTTCACGAGAGGTCATGAAACGCAGCCATCCGACCGAACGCGATGACCCGGTGATTCGAAGTGAGCATCCGTGGTCACTGATCTAGAACGGAATACTTATCTTTATCTCTTGACCAAACCGCCTCAACTACTCCAATCCTACCTCTCAACTTAAGTCTAAACACCACTTGAAAGCCCAATCCCAGCAATACATATTAAATTGACGAAATTTGACCCTACCCAACTAAACCTTACCTTGTGAGCGGTTCGAGTCCCGCCACGGCACTAAAGTCTGTTGACAAGATATTAATCTACATTTGCCACTCTCCACCCAGGTGATAAATGTATGGGTACCGGCAGGAAGGAATTCCTTGAATGATGTGAGCGCCGAAATTGGCTGCCTAACAGAGCTGGGGTAATAGTTGGAGCCCCTCGACCACCATGCATGGTGGATATGTGCGCTATAGCAATATCCAATATTCTTATTAATGTGCCTACCTTAACCTTAGCCAACTTGCAACCTAACTCTACATGTATTGATTTGCCCCCCCCCCCCTAAAATAATGGTGTCATGGAAGAGTACATCAGGAACAGGAAAGCAACGACTGATCAACTAGTCAACGACTAATAAGAGATGGTCATAGCTCAAATTTAAGAGAGGAGTGGTATTTAATAAAGTGGAGTGACCAACTTTTTGGCCAGTTGACGCTCACCCTCTCCTTCGGAACTTCCAGGGGAACAAATTATTCTTCCAGTTGGTTCACGGCACACGAGAAAAATCTGCGAAACTCCTCCCACCCCAGTTTTCCAGGTTTAGCTTCTCAATTATTTTAGATCGTGTTCTCTTAATTCACTTTGACCCGTCGCCTCTTTACCACTCTGTCTTCCAGTTGATCTGTTCCTACGTCTTCATGCCTCTAGCTTTCATCGTGGGAGTGGAGTGGGCTGACTGCCAGCTTGTGGCCGAGTTGATAGGTCTCAAGACCTTCCTAAATGAATTCTACGCGTATGGTGTCATGGGGCAGTACATCAAGAACAGGGACACAGGAGATGGACCAACGCTATCTGTAAGTGTAACCAAATCGTAGCAGTGGCGGAGCTCCATTGATGGCAAAAAAGGTTGATTAAAATTAAGTCAAATTGCTTTTAGAACTGTACAAAGTCGCTCTCCAAAAACGATATGGACGTTAGGCTAATAGATCAGTTATTCACAGTGTCATCAAGTTCTTAAGAACGGGTCATATTATCTGGTTGTTCTTTATTCCTTGATAGATGCAAAATGTATCAACCTGTGCTATTTTCGTTATCTATGGCTCAGACACCTTCCTCAGACCTAAACTAGCCGACAAATTGCCGTTTGGGCGATTGCCTTGTCATTAATGTGAGGCAACTGGTAGGCGTCCCTATCTGCGAGTACATTTCTGAGTAAAGTGTGTCTGAACCATGCAAATCGTAACTTCCACATGGTCAGTATTTTGGAATATGTCCCCGATGTCTTAAAGGTACTATGTCCCTTTTGAGGCCAACCTCAAATGCTGTAGAACTTTGCAGGAATTATGAATATGTCATGTATGTCCTATCTGTGAAATTTAAACGTTAGCAGTGTCCTCATATTCAAATTATGCAAGGAAACCCGTTTACTTGCTAGACTTCACTGTCAGACACTATTAAGAGACCGACTGGCTTTTTTCTTCTTTGATAATAACATACATGAAAAGAGTTGTAAAGGGTACATGAACATTTGTCTACATCAATAACGCACTTCTTGTGATGGCCAAGATTAAACTGATTGAATCTTTGCGCAGCATAAAACGTATGACCATTCGGTACAATTGTCTGAAAATCAAGACTATTACTTTTGGGCTCTATAGCCCCACCTCTTTCAAGCCCCACCTTTTTTAGGGAAGTTCTAAATTAGTATTATCCTTCAAATGCAGTTGGAATTTAACTTTTTCATTTGTTTGGCCTGCAAATGGGACATAGTACCTTTAACTTGCTAACATACCATGAATTTGTTTCTAAATTCGGAGGGTGCAATCAGTGTTTCATTTGCAGTATTGCCAAATTATAGTTTGTTGAAGTGTCTGGTACTGTTCTCACTGGCGTGACGGTGCATACTTAAAACTGCATAATAATTATGTCTCATTTGTTGTCAAGGTGCGGTCAGAGGTGATTGCGACGTACGCCCTCTGCGGTTTCTCCAATATAGGTTCTATCGGCATGATATTGGGAATCTTCGGCCCACTGGCACCCAAACAGAGAAAGGTCTTGTCCCCGGTAGCTCTCCGTGCCCTCTTTGCTGGATCCGTAGCTTGCTTCACCACAGCTTGCATTGCAGGTACGGTTCTAGGACACCTACCCCCTGGACATCCTACCCCTGATTACCACCCTCAGTCAACTACCCCCTAGGACAACTACCCCCAGACAACTCCCCCCCGGACAAATACCCCCAAGACAACTACCCCCTAAGACAACCATCCTCTAGGACGACTACCCCCCAGATAGCTATCCTAGGGGGTATAGTTGTCCTAGGGGGTGGTAATCCGGGGGTGGATGTCCAGGGGGTAGGTGTCCGGATACGTTGCAGATTGATTGATGTGTTTTTATTTGTTTGCAATGACCAAGAAGGTCCCTTTATATTAATTTAATTCTTTGATACTGCCACATCGTGACAAATTGCATTCGAAAAGATTTCACAAGCATGGCAGGAGGTGTTCACTATAGTTGGCACGTCTTATCTTCGATGTAATGACTATGGACTATTCCGTGCAATGTGTTCCGTACCGAACTAACGGTTCTTTCTACACCATAACAAGGTCATATCATGATAATTATCTTGAACGAGATATGACATTATGTTGTCAGGAACACCTTGTACTGAATCGCCTCGCCTCCCTTGGTTTCCATGACAAAAGTAGGGGAAAATTCTCAGATCAAACAACTGTATTATTTAAACAGTCAGCCCCGCCCACCCCCCCCCCCCCTAACACACACAAACACACATACACACACATCCACACACACACACACACTTCCATGTGAAAAAGCATGTTGCAAAACGGAGCAATCAATTTTAACCAGCCTCATTTTCATATCGATAGTCACACCGACGATACCTATGCCAGGGCCCGTCTTATAAATATACGATCAATCGATCGTAGTACTTATTTGCGATTTATATCAGTCGCAACTATGTACATAAGAGATAGGATACTCCAAAATAGTGCCTGATTAGAGGGATTTAGATTGATTTGAATCAATCGCAATTCTTTATGAGACCGGGCCAGTTTCATTGTGCCCTTTATTGTCCCAAAACCCGCGGTTTTAAGTCATAAATGACTGTACGTGTTATATTGTTTGTTGCAGACAGATAGACCATTTTAAGATATAATTTTGGAGGCCGTGCTATGGCAAGAAATGATCAGTGGTTTATCCAATTTCTTCTCCTCCACCTCTTATGCGACAGGCATCTTGTACGTGCCCGAGGAGTTCATACAAACCAATTCGACATCGACACCGTGGATGACTACCATGTATTGAGGGGAAAAGGATACGAGACGATGTTGAGGCTGAAATATACTGCATGCCCCTATTTAAATGACATATGAAAAACATACCTGCATACAGTGCCAGTGTCATAGTTGAGGGAACACGAGAGACACTTATTCAATTCTCCAAACAAAATAGAGGGGTGAGCAAAAAGAAAAAGAAAGGACAAACAAAAACGAGAAAAAAGACAAAAGGGAAAGGGTTGAGGAAATTCACCGCAGCCCCTTTTCCAATAAGTAGCCATGTAAATTCGCATTTCCTTTTCCCAGTATGGTGCCCCCTGTCGTGCCCCCTGTCGTGCCTCCGCCCCCTCAACGAATGGACTCGCTCTTCGCCACTGCCTGTAGGTATTATGTATCAGAACAGCTACCACCTGGCGGTCATCATTTACTAGTGAACTTTGACCCCCTCAGCAGGTCTATAATGATTATAATGATAATTATGATAAAGATAACAATAATAATATCAACAATGATAGTAATTATATTATCATTATTATAATAATATTTCATCACTTTTATTATTATTATCATTATCATAATGATTAACATTATCATTATTACTATCATCATCCTCATCACCGTTATTATTTTTGTGGCAGGAAAACCATAGCTCTTTCACTGCCCTTTAAATTTCTTGTCCACGAATCCCCTTTTCTTGTAAATGTTTATTATCGTAAAATGAGGGCTACACGCACGTCAATCTACTCGTTTGCCGTAAAGCTTTTCCTATATTGTGTAAAAGATTAGTTAATCTCATGCAATCTCTATGTTTAATTTCATATATTTTCATATATTGTGTTCTTGAAAACTTATATCAGGTCTATAACGTTCAGGGAAGTAAGTACGCATCTATGAATACTGGCATTTATGTTATTAGTGATATTTTACAGTTAGATTGAGATATTTCCGAATGCTAGTACATGACCTACGTAATGTAAGTTACCTTTGTATTTCTGGTTTGTTCATGCTTTTTACGTTTAGGCATTTCATGTGAAAGGATATTATTCAACAAAAACAACACTTTATGAATGTATAACTTTATTATTAAATTATACAAAAGGTGGTTTCATACATTAAACATAACGACATAATAAATTTCATTGCAGGGCGTTGCAAATCATGGTTGTGTAAATAAGTAATGCTGAGTAAGTGATGCTGCCATTATGGAAACATGCTGTTTTTATCTGTTTAATTACTGAAATAATCATTGTAATTGTATTTGCATTCGGAGTGATCAATAAACTTTTTATAATCCTAAAAAACCCTGTTCTTATTTTGGAGAAATGAATATCTAAGAATGATACTTCCACTATGAAATTATGCTGTTTCATTCGCTTTTTTCTGAAATAATAATTGTAGTTGTATTAACCCTTCAAGTGAATAAAAAGGTGGGTTTTTCATATCACGAAACTCTGTCCTTTATATTGGGAAAATGAATCTCGTCCGTGGCCAGCAAAGAAGTGTTCTAAATTAAATTAAAATGTAATGAAAACCTCACAAGGAAAAGCACCTGATACGTACACTGTTGGTCATAATGGTGGAATAATTATTTTTTCCCCAATTTATGGAATGGTTTTGACAATGACATATTCCTAATAGATCTAGATAATAGTATGCATTCTCATATATTATTGAATAATAATTTGCGAGTGTTCGTTTTGCGTGACTGCTAAAGCATGTGTGTGCAACTATGCTAATCAATTAGGGGACCTACGTCCTTAAGTCATAACTGACAGTAATGAGGATTAATGCCTCACAAAAGGGCACTTATATGATTGATCGATACGGTTTTTAGTCTGGGGTCTCACAGTAACGAGGCCATTGCTTAGCCACTGAATCATGGCTGTACGCAGCGGGGGCTAGGGTACGTCGCCGCCCCCACAAATACAAAAACAAGAAAAGAAAATGCAATAAATTATCAATAATGAATTGCATTTTCCCCGGTCCCCAACATGAACAATTTCTCCTCAGGGCCATCCACTATGGTTTAAGGCATGCCCACATAGAGTATTTTTTATGTTGGGGATCGGGGCAAAATGCAATGAATTATTGATAATTGATTGCATTTTCTTTGTTCCACCTTTATGACCAACAGTGTATTATAAATTCGACAGATATAAACTATGTAAAGAGAAACAAAATAACATAGAAAATGATAGCATCAACAACAACAAAATAATTAAAGAACACGTTGACATATCAGTCAACCTCGCACAAGTAAATCAGGCAGTTTTAAAAAAGTTCTGTGGTTCTTCCGACGGCACTGCAGCGTCATGAAGTTCACAATTCTGTCGCAGTGGAGTGTAAGCTTCTTATTAATATTCAAGTCATTGATACCCCAGCCATACCTATGATAATTGACGTCAGAGCATCCACGCACAAATATCTTGAAATTATATTTATTGCTCCCGAATGTCCTTAAAGGGGAACGTTCCCGCCAGTGTAGTTATCGGAACATACCATCTGCGTAAGAGCCGTATTCTGTTGGTGTCAATAGGCAGCTATAGCACCGTCCGCCAGCGCGTACGTATTTTGAACGCCCTCTGGAATACGGGGAACATGCCCCTTTAAGTTCAACGAATCCGTCATACCAGCAGCCAACGCCCAAACAAAGATGAAGTTATCACTCCTGCGGCTGTCATGGTAACTGATACCAGCATCATCCAGGGATGTGTGGTGATCCTCTGCGCATCTGAGATGAGATGAGGAGAGCTTTTATCGAGGCACCCGAAACCGTAGCAGTCGAATGGCGAGGAGAGGTTGCCGGTGGGTGAAAAGGGTGATAGTACGATATCTGTGGGGGATGGAAGTACAATAGAAAGCACATTAGATTCAGCAGCTATGATAGTTCATAAAAAAAAAAATTAAGGTAGATAATGTTTTCATGTGAAATATCCACAGACAAAAATCCCTTTAAATACTACTAGAGCTCCTAATGAGGTTAGCCCTTCCTAAAAATCGGGGTAGTTTACACTGCTTCTTAATTTCGTTATGAAGAGCTATCATAACTATATAAATAAATACGATTATTACACAAAAAACAATGGAAGGTACAAAGTTAACTTGAAGAAATTCAATACAACTACGAGTGATCTGTCTGTGGGCAGGTTCTTCAGACAACCCTTCAGACTGGTCCCTCTACCCGAGAGCAATAAACATCCCTAAACGTGCTAATTAATGTTTCATTTGCTGGCACTTTTCTGCAGTCAAAGCAACGATTAAACGTTTGGTTAATATTTCTGTCATTCATTCATTCATTCATTCATTCATTCTTTCTTTCTATCTTGTTCTTGTTCTTATTGTTCTCCTTCTATCTCCCTCCTCTTTCTTTTTCTTTTTCTACTCTTTCTTCTTCTTCTATTATTATTACTTCTCATCTTCAGAGTAAATGCAACAGCCTTTCACGAAAAAGAAATCAGTTGTGTATTCCAGCCCCCCCCCCCCCAATCACCGGATTTACAATCGACTCAAGATAAATGAAGCGTACGTGCATGGGTTGTGGCTCTCATATTCTCTAGACAGGACAACTATATCATTCTCATCAGGATCAATACGGCACTTGATCCTGCGGCAATTGCTCCGTGGTGTTTCCGAACATTAACAGAATTCCTTTCAATCCCTGGCCCAGCATTAATTCTTACTCTAACCTTAACCCTAAACCCAACCTAACTTAAAGCCAAATTGCAACCCTTAATCGATATACTCTTGACGAAATAAAGTCCGGAGCAATTGTTCTCGTCGGAGCAAAATTGTCAGACCATCTCATTTCGACTTACTTTTACAGTAGTCCACTTTCTTGGGGTTATAGCGGTCGCAGACCTTTGACATGCAGTCACAATCGCCAACGACCTTGTAGATCGTCAGTCCTTCTCCGTAGCAAAGCTGGCCCGTTTTGGCGAAGTTCAGGTACTCCTCCACCAATTCCCGGTTGTAACCCTCAAGGTGCACATTCTCAGCGTAGTCATGCACCTCGTCGATCACCTGACTGTTGCACGAGTGACCACTCTTGGCGACTTCGAGCTGGTAAGGGGCGCACATGGCACGGAGGTGGAAATTTACACCCCTATCCGGATTTAGACCTTGACACAAGAAAAGATAGGGGAAGTAAACGCGGTTATTGAATATGGTAATGATAAAAACAGTAATAAGAATAATATTAATCATAATAATAATAATAAAAATAATACTGATAATAATGGTAATACTACTACTCCTACTACTTCTTATACTACTACTAACACTACTACTACTACTACTACTACTACTACTAAAAATAATAATAGCAACAATGATTGTAATAATCATAATGAAAATAACAATAATAATAACAATAACTAAAAGAATTACAACAATAATGGTCTAATTTACCAAAGTTAACCTCATCTGGTTTGCAAAATGGCATGAGATACAACTGGGTCGAGACGACCTTAATATGGGTAAAAATGTTTTTTTCAAGAATGATTTTGAAACGTTACTAAGTTTACATTTGTGTCTGCATTAGTAGTAAGTTGATAATTTCATGTTTAAATCCGCGTTAGAAATAAGATTCTCGCCAGGTCCCAGATATAAATCAGTTTTGTCATTTCTCACTGCGTTGTAATATTTTTATTTCACAGTATAAGTACATGAGATATTCAATCTTACCCTGTGCTTTAACACCACTGCAGATGGTAGCGATGCTCAGGAATACTTGGAGGATGTATTTGATCTGTCAAATCGGATATTTATTTAAAGAAGAGATCTTTATGAATATTCATGAGGCAGTAACGGATTGAGCAAACTTGAAAGTACAAAGTCTCCAACGGATACAGATGGTACTTTGGTTTACAGGGGAAACCAATCCTTTTTAAATAGCAAACTGCTCTACACGATAGCAGAAGAATCAGAGAAAACGATTGGTGAATGTTTGAACGAATGAATTTTTGAAAGTTGTAATAACTATCTACGCATGGGAGATTCAAAATTGCTAAATCTTAAACGCCTTTCTGACGTAGTTCCGGAAGACTTTCCCATTTATAACACAAACAAATGTCATTTTTTAAAGAAATATAAGACGCAAGATGGTTTCTTTCTTTTGGAGGACCTATCATATTGTGTAATCCATGATATATGTTGAGTAGTGCCAAAAGGGAGAAGGCGTTTAGGAGAAAAACAGAAGTTAATGATAATTCTGTACACCATAAACGCGAGAGTTGTCAGTGACTACATCACAATCTACTGACCAAATTTTGAGATCTGCATCGATTCAGTGATCTCAAAAAATTCAAATTTACATACCTCTCCTATCATAAGTCCGATTTTTGGGGGATAACTTTCATCATTCTGTTTCATTTTATTATTCTGCTTTCATACAAATGGACGAATTACAAAGGTTAAAGTGTGCTTTAAAGGGTAGTGAGGGGCGGTGAATCATAAAATTAGGATAATCCTGTGTGACCGGTTAATCAGGAACACGATCGGAAAGACTTTTGAAAAAAACTAACTTAAAGGTTAATTCCAGTTTTGGAAACGCCTCAATTTCTTATTACCAATCATGTGAAACAATATGTTTTGACTAATGCGTGATCATACCAAATTTTGCCAGGAAACCGCCTACTAATTGATGTATTTGCTAAATTATTATATCTATCTGGACTGGATAGATATAGGGTAGTCCCATATACATCTTTCCGTGTGCAGTGCTTGTAACTTTACCAAGACTGGGCCAAATTTCTTATCATTTTGATGCAGGGGCGGATCCAGCCGGCGGCAGGGGAGGGGGCTCAATTCGTGAGAAAATAGTTGGGGGCGAAACAGCCGGCCGATAATTCGCATATTGGGGGAGGGGGTGGGGGAGGGGTGTAGTGAGCACTAATTTATTTATTTTTTTGCTCCCGAAAATTTGAAAATCGTGCCGGCTGATAAGTCGCTCAGCCCGCCCCCCCCCCCCCTGGATCCACCACTGGTATCCAACAATTTTTCACAAAATAACTAAAATTTCTATTGTGCAAAATGTATGACTCCGGAGAGTCTTTGCATTTTAGAGTGCCTAGATAATATGCTTTCCATACTACTCTCATTACCTTAGCCTGCTTATACACTCTTTCAATTCAATGGACTTGAATATCTCTGTGCATTAACCTGTAGAACTATAATTACTTTTGCCTCATTTATCTCTTATCTTTTTTTTTGAAGAGCACCTAAAAGATTGTAAAACAATGGTGTTTTTAGTAATATTATAATCATGAAGTTTTTATCGTTATGCACTAATCAAGAACCTAAGGTTACCTGTTTACGATTCAATTCCATATGGTGTTTTAATTATTATGATAATCAGAAAGGTTTGATTGTCATGCAAAATGTTATAACCAAGAACCTAAGGTTACCTGATTACGATTCTATTCCATATGATGTTTTAATTATTATGATAATCAAAAAGGTTTGATTGTCGTGCACTAATCAAGAACCTAAGGTTACCTGCTTACAAATCTATTCCATATGGTGTTTTAATTATTATGATAATCAGAAAGGTTTGATTGTCATGCACATAATCAAGAACCCAACGTAACCTGTTTACAATTCTACTATTCCAAACGGTATGTTTATTGTAGCTTGTTTTATATGCTAAGGAGTATAATCAATCCATCGGAGTGAAAACATGATTGGAATTAGTACATACAATCCATGATTGTGCAAATCGATATCTGGGGCATGCAACGTTCGGTCAAATTTTAGTTTTATATTCAAACAACGTTTTGCGTAACTTTTTAAAGTTTTATTAACAAAAAAAAACCTATAGACGCCCTGTATATATTTGAAATGTTGGTTTATTTTGCTGAGAGAATATAAACAAATTGTTGCTGAGACATGTTAAAGAAAAATGGTCTAATGGAAAAAGGAATAGATTAAACTTTTCTGCTCATTGTTGAATACAGGGAGGGGAAGTCCACCCTGATATCAAGTTAGCTTAATTAGAAGCAGAACAATAATTTGGGTTTTCTGTTGTACGCAGAAAAAGCAAATTTTGTATTCTTTCATTCTTTCATTCTTTCTTTCATCGATATTTGACTTTAAACGCATTTGTTTTGAAAACCCTCGAGGAATATGTCTTAAATCAGATCCTCTTTCACATTATGATAACATTTGAGTCAAATTTTACCATCAAACTTTTGGGGCTCCCAACGCTTAAGAGGCTCTACACCAGGCGCGGACCCAGGATTTCTTAGGGGGGCCCAAATTTGAAATTATGCGACCCAAATATCGGTACGTAAAGGTGACCTACATTGACGTAGTGGGGGGGGGGGGGTGCAGGAAGGGGTGATTACCCCCTCCCTCCTCCGCAATGCGCCGAAGCTTTGACGTTTCATTAAGTTATTAAACAAAGAAGACGATTCTCGAAAATAGTGAGCACTAATTTTTTATTGGGCCCTCGAAAATTTGAAAAATCGCACCCCCCCCCCCCCCCCCCCCAAAAAAAGGTAAAATTAACGTGTTTTTCCCAGGGTTCCGCCACTGGGTCCAGGGCCCTCAGAAGCTTAAATTATCGTCGGATGAGCATAATTTTATACCTCCTTTGTGACACTGGCAGGTCACGAATTGGCGTGGGGTCCAGGGGGCAGAGCCCCCTGAAGCTCAGGGGTTTTGTTAATAAATAACGGCCAGATGAGCATATTCTTTTACCTTATTTGTGACACTGGCAGGACACAAATTGGTGTTGGGTTTAGGAGGCGGAGCCCCAAGAAGTTCAGGGGTTTTGGGCAATAACTTACTGTCAGATGAGCATATTTTGATACCTTATTTGTGATACTGGCAGGACACAAATTGGCGTTGGGTCCATGGGCCGGGGCCCTCAAGGGCTCAGGGGTTTATTCATCAATTTATCGTCAGATGAGCATAATTTTATACCGTATTTGTGACACTGGCAGTTCACGAATTGGCGTGGGGTTCAGGGGCGGAGCCCCCGCAAGCTCAGGGGTTTGGGGCAATAATAACGGTCAGATGAGCATATTTCATACCTTATTTGTGACACTGGCAGGTCACGAATTGGCGTGGGGTCCAGGAGGCGGAGCCCCCGGAGGCTCAGGGGTGTTAGGCAATAAATTCCGGTCAGATTAGCATGTGGGATCCAGGGGCAGAGCCACCGGAAGTCAAGGGGTTTTAGGCATTTAATTACGGTCAGATGAGCATATTTTGATATCTTTCTCCTTTATTTCCCTTTTTTTCTGCGGTCAGATGAGCATCCAGGGCCCTGCCTTAGACCCAGAAGCTCAGAGGCTTTATGCATTAAATTACCGTCAGATTAGCATCTAGCCGTCCGCCTTATGGCCCTAGGTGGGGTCCAGGGGGCAGGCCACCGGAAGTCAAGGGGTTTTAGGCATTAAATTACGGTCAGATGGGCATATTTTATTTTGAAACCTTTGATATCTTTCCCCTTTTATTTCCTGCTTTTTTCCTTCTTTTTTTTTCCTTCTTTTTTTTCCCCTTTTTTTCTTCCCTCCTTTTTTTTCCTTCTTTTTTCCCCTTCTTTTTCCCCCTTCTTTTGTTTCCCTTTTTTGCCAGGGGGGGGGGAGGGGGCCCGGGCCCCCCGGGCACCCCCCTGGATCTGCCACTGTTTTGATGATTCCAGAACCTTGCAGTACACACCAATACTTATATGCTAGATGATCATCCTTTTCTGATCGATTCCACAATGTTTCTTTCACAATGCAATCGCATGACCAGAACTGGTCTATACCTTTAAGGTAGTTTAAATAGCCTCGTACATCACCTTGGTGCAAATGGTGCGAATGGTGCAAACATCATAATGACATACAGCATAATCCAAACATAATTCATACAAGACCAAAGTTGATCTATCAAAGCCATTACAAAGAAGTTTTAAATAAAGGAAAATTAACTTTAAAAGTAAAAGTGAAAAGTAAAAGCGAATGATAAATTGTGTTTAGATACAAACGGACAAAGAAGGGACTTATTTATGATTATAACAATGTCCCTGACAAAGGATATCAAGCATGAGAAAGAGAGTGATAGATAGAAAGAGAAAGAGAAAGAGAGAGAGAGAGAGAGAGAGAGCGGTGGGGAATACAGGGAGAGAAGGGTAGTGAGGGAGAGGGGGAGAGAATGGGGAGTGTGGGAGGAAGAGGGATTTATCATACTTGTCATTGGTATAATTGAGAGCCTGTTTATATGTCCAATTTCGAAGTGATTATGTTATCATTGAATGTGCAGAACACCTGAATATGGGGCCAAGTCAAAAGTGAATTGTTGCAAATTGCATTGTTATTTTCAAACAGTGAATTCGTTATTTGTTTGGAAGATGGATTGCGTTTTGAATGAATAACAAGGCATCAGTTTTGCAACATTTAACTTTTGATTTGCCCCCATATTCAGGTGTACTGCACATTCGATTACATTATCACTACAAATGGGGCATCATTGTTGAGGGTTATAAGCAAAGTTTTAATGATACCAAATTCAAGTATTTTTTCCCTTTGCCTCTAATGGGGTGTTTATTCAATATTCATCAATAACATAATTTCACAAACAGTTTAGCAAAACGATGGAACATGAATAATACACATAATATTTGTACAAATGTATAACTAAGCAAATTTGCACGAAAATTCCTATTTTGTACTTTCAAATGTTCATTTAAGTCTGTGAGTTATTTCTCTCTTAAATAAATATATATCAGATTTTAATTCCTATTATCATACCCATACTAATTACGAAAAGATAATCATTTTATGAATAGGCCTAGAGCAAAATGCAATCGTCATAGTCAAATCGATTTCGGTTTGCGAAGTAATTTTGAGTAAACAAATGACATCTATATATCTTTATTTCAAGATTAAAAGCATGTAAAACTAAGTCCTTTAGGTACTCAAAGAAGGTTTTGTTTGCCGTACATTAAATAAAAGCATGAACAACATCTTCAGTTTCTTTGCACTTTAAACAAAGGTCATCGTATAGAAGACCCAAAGAACAAATGTAGCATATCATATAAAAGCTTAACCATTAAATTCATGTACACGAAATTCTTTAATCCCAATCGAATTTCTGTTACCAAATTTGGGTATGATACTATAGTAACAAGAGCTATATCGACGCTCAAATCTGAGTTGCAGAACTTTTTTGAGAAGATTAGTTTTCCCTTGATTTACTTACCATCGAAGTCATCTTGTAAGAAAATCCACCTTCTGCAAACTCCTGAATAATGTTCTCTAAGCAATCTGATAAACGAAGTCTTCGATGACAAATGAAAATAAGAAATATACTCCTATATTGCAAAAGCTGTCTCGGCACTACAGCCACTTAATGCACACAAGGCCAAAAAAATAAACAGACAATAAACAAATGCTATATTTTCTTGTCAAATAAATTGAGTGAATGCTTTTGAACGGGGCTACACAATATGGTCTGTTGTTTATATTTTTCGTGTCCGTCTTAAATAGCGACGAAATTTGTTGTCCCCCTCTGTATAGGGATGATTGATATTTTCTAACAATCGACGTTTGTTTAATAAGTTGCACAATCAAATGTTTACCGGACAGAAATTATATTGGAGTGCCCCCCTGGAATGGCTTGCCAATTGTTTTTTTTTAGCGCAGTATTTCCCCATTGTCCTTGTCATGAAGCTATTCTTTTAAATGCGATGACCGCTATCGGACTCGTACAATGGGATGAGTCAGCGTCGGTCAGAGTTTCGGGGCGGGGAGGGGGCGCGGATTTCTTTTTTTAATCTAAGCAAGGGTTATGTCGGTAAAGGGTAAATTTCTATTTTTGGGTTTAATTATTGATGTTTTTTTATAATTTCTCTCTTGTCTTTGTTTTTATTTTACTTTTTTCTTTTTCGTAATTAATTTAGAAGACATTATATTTCACCATAATCAGTCAAAGGAAAAGGAGTGACTAGAGATTTGGCAATAGATGAATGGAAAAAAAATTAAAAAGTACTCTGCATTTATTTCACTATTCCAGGATATAAGACAACATACATAAGGGGAGAATGTGAGAAACATCTTACCTAACGCAAACTCCATGTTTTACCCAACATATCTTTACGTTCCCTCCTTACCAGCAGATAGGCTTTAACCGTGTATATATCGGCTGTATATTGTAATCTCGTCTTGCAATATATCGAAATCTCCTAACAGTATACTTTTGCAAAAAATACGGATGTATTTTCTTATGGGGGACTAATACTTGACGAGTACCCTCTGAACTTGCTACAGTTCGTCCTTTTCTCTTATTTTGATATTGCCTAACTTGTTTATGAATTCAATATGTCATAATTGATGAGATATGATATTTTTCAACGTTTTTGTTTAAGAATATGATCAGATTGTCTCTCAAAATATGTTATGTAATGCTTCTTTTTTTAGGGGGGGGGGGTGTACTGCAAATGAACAAAAAAGCGAAAAAGGACGAATGGACGATGGGGTATATCTTCACAATTTCTTTTACACAAGAGTAATGAAACTAATGAAAACGAACAACCTAAAAAGAAAAACATTTATCTGTTTCAGGGCAGCCCTGAAATGTCCTAAATGTGAGCAGTTACGCTGATTGTGTTTCCGTTACGTTAATGAACAATTTCCTTCCAGCTGCGGCATGATACGAGTGTTATCGAACAATTTATTTCCAAACAATTGGAATATTATCATCCGCCCGACAACACTAAAGTTTTAGTGAACGGTAAACATTTTTAATAACACCCCACTCCCCCTCCACTAGGTCTCTCTCTCTCTATCTTTCTCTCTCTCCCTCTCTCTCTTTCTCTCTCTCACTGCCTTTCTGTCTCCTTCCCTTTCTATCTGGCTCTTCTCCCTCTCTCTTTTTCTCTATCTTTCTCTTCTCAATGTGTCTCTATCTCTGTCTCGCCTTTAAAGAAATAAAGTTATCATTTCACTCCCCCAGTCATTCATAGTAATTTCTATCGGTCCTAGTTCCTTTGTCATCTGATATTTAAACTAAACTAATAAACATAATGTGTAACTTCAACAAGAATATAACAGATCTTTTTTTTTCTTCATACTTTTTCCCTCCACAGGGATTTTATTCATTTTCATTTGCAACAAATTAACAATCATATATTCAAGGTAATTTATATTTATAATATGAATAACATTGACCACTCAAGATTCAAATATGTGTTGAAATGTCGAGTTAACAGAAGATATCTGATATTCATGAACAAACAAAAAAAGAGAAAAACTATGCAAAAGACACATATTATCGTTTGATTATTGGGCTATATACAATCACATTGTTGTGACCACTGCTGATGATTTAAAAAAAAAAAATCAGATAATGATATCATAATTGTTGACCGACTTGGCGACCAACTTCTGAAAGTTGGAATAGGGTTTATGCCCGCAAAAGAACCTATTCAAAGTTCCTTTTTGTTTTGCGTAGTAAAAACATTGTAATGTACTGCCTCTTTAGTTCCGCAAGTATCGAACTCAACACCAACATCGGATTACCCAAAATATCCTTGTTACCGGAAATAGCGATTGCCAGGGCGGAGAACTAAAGAACAATTAATAAAATTGTAATATATATGTGGACTAACTGTATTGGCATAATTATTAGGAAATTTGAATGAGTAATCATATATCCGTTCTTTAAAGTCGACAAAGGGTTGTTTTTGGCAGAGGTGCTCTCGGTATTGTTGATATTTATAGCCCTAATCATTATCTCAATATTACAATAATTTAACAGATATATGATTGATTGACAGCACAACATATGGTAATTGCTATACAGCTGTTGTAGTTGCCCAAATTAAAATGCTATTTCCATACGTATACGGATACTTAATAGAGAATAAAGCCACGGAGAAGTGAGCATGCACTACCTATAATCTAATTTAAATTTCGTTCGGTTAAAGCACAAGCAATGCCAATTTCTTGTAGAGTTTGGTATTGGAGAGTTGGGGCGGAAAGGGCGGGTGGGATGGACTGAGATAATTAAACAGGATCTAACCCGCCCCCTATGCCATCTAACGCTACATGTTTAGCGTAGGTCTCCTCTCCCCTCTTTCTCTCTCTCTCTCTCTCTCTCTCTCTCTCTCTCTCTCTCTTTATTTCCCTTCTAAATATATGTATAGCTATATATCTGCACCTCTTCCCCTCTCTCTCACTCTCTCTCTCACTCTCTCTGCTTCCCTCCGTCACTGTTTCTTTCTCTCTTTCTCTTCCTATCCTCCTACCCCCTCTCCCTCTTTCTTTCCTTCTCTCTCAGTCTTGATCTATGTTTATATATATATATATATATATATATCTATCTATCAATCTATCTACCTTCACATCACCCTCTCTACCCCCCCCCCCCTCTCTCTCTCTCTCCTTGTTTATCTATCTATCTACACCTCTTTACCCCCTTCTCTCCCTCTCTCTCTCTCTCTCTCTCTCTCTCTCTTTCTTTCTCTCTTTCTCTCTATTCCCCGCCAATGTCTCTTTCCCTTTCTCTTCCTATCCTCCTACCCCCCCCCCTCTCTCTCTCTCTCTCTCTCTCTCTTTCTCTCTCTCTAGCCCTCCTTAATGAATAACAGCATTCATAAAAACTTGTAAATCTTTATCGTCGTAATCATTTATTTTAATTTAAATAATAAATAAGTAATATTCAAATTTATCCATTTTCCAAAATTCGATAATCAACTGTAAAAGTGGCAATGATCAAGGTGGTGCATGAGGTCAACTTAAAGGGATAATATGACGAGTATGGAAGTCATACAAAATGCATCAACGAGCAAAAAAAAAAAAAAAAAAATAACCCAAGGTAAACTCATTTTTTTTCTTCAAACAAGCATGAAACCAAAATAAGATTTCGAAGTCAAATGAAATGACATGTATTGAGTTTAAAGCAAAAGCTACTTAAAGCTACATTCGTATTTTGGGGGCAAGGATCACCAACAGTTTACAAATCTCCTGTAGCCCTCGGTGTTTTCATACAAGAACTTACCCAAATTGAAAGTTTGCATCATAATTAGAAACTAAATATATTGATTGATATTTTATCTATTTTTTTTCGTAATTATTTTAGAAGACATGTATTTCAGCATAATCAGTCAAAAGAGCGGGGTGACTAGAAATTTGGGACTACTGCAATTATATACTTTTATTCTTTACGATACAAATTAAATTCTTCATTTATTATCAGCGCCCAAAGTCGTGTATCGTTAGGTATTGGAACTTGGGAAGCTTTATCTCAATGAGCGATGTAATTATTGTAATCAGGCATTGTCTAAGCTGTTCCGGATAGACAGCCTTCTTCTCAGAGGAGCTCAGAATAATGAAGGTCTTAATAATCACAACAATCACAAATAAGGCACCAGTTATATTTCAGCCTCATTTAGGTAAAGACATATGAAGCAGGTAAATTAAATGAAATAATTAAAATGGAATCTACAGAATGCGAGAAAACGGCGGTCAATTTGTACACGAAAAAAAAATGAATTGCATCCCGCGTTGCCCATTTCAAAACTTTAATGCATGTTTTTAGTATTGTCCAAATTGTTCATATTTGTTTTTAAAGGCCAAAATGTTCTACATCAGAAATTTATTATAATATGAACCTTTATTCTCTTTCTGCTCATTTATTCATAGCATTATGAACCAAAACATTATGAACCAAAATCATGGCAAGAAAATAGTCATAGTTTTGAGTAAAACAAAAATATGCTGCCAAAAAAAAAAAATTGAAATTAGATTTTTTTAAAATCCAGCGCCAGGACAAACACCACCTCCCCACCTGACTATATCGCATTCCGAAAAAAACGTACTGCAAATTGATATAACCACGGACCTACTACGACTCATTCTTTTCCTAGGAAGTAGGTCATTCCTATTCGAGTCCGGGGTGCAGTTTATCCGAGTGTTTGTTGTCCCATAGGCTGTCCGTTAGAAAGCTGTCCGCGGACTGAGCTGGCGTAGAAGCCTTGCATTCTGACACGTATTTGCAGTCTTGGTAATGTAAATTCTTTCGTGCAATACTTGTGGTGAAATGTCGTACATGTTCAAAATTTTATATTGATAATGAAAATTATAATTATATATCAGTTCGTACAGTGAAGCTATTACACAAATATACCCTGCTGCAATGACAACACACTGCTAATTGATAGATACACAATAACAATATATTCAAAAGCTACTAAAAACAGGTACGTATTCCTAAAAACTTTGAGGACAGCAACAGATAAGGTTTATTTTAATGTCTAGTTGTAGGTTATTCCAAATCTTTGGAACGGCGCAGCTGGAAGCGCATTCATGGACATTGGAAAATATTTTTGAAATAAGATACAAAAACCGATATTTTCAATTCCAGTTCAATTTAATTCAAATGGTACCAAACTTCTGTATGCGTGCGGTTCTCCCGGACTACATGAAAGTGAGCAATTTTATTTGAGTGCGGTAACAATTAGAGGAAGATGAAACTAAGGTATGACTTTGCATCAGTTAGGGGGAAATGTGGACGATGGCGACGCAGAAGATGATGCGGATGTTGATGATGAAGACGGCTCCGCTGACGACGTCGACGATAATGACGATGCCGATGAATATGGATGATGAAGATGACGATAATGTGGATGATAATGCCGATGAAGATGGACGACGACGATGATAACACAGATGACGATGACTTCGATGCTCTTGATGATGATGACGACGCTAAGGGATGTTTTGTTACTTAGAAAATCGATGTTGATGCTCGGTAGCTACATGGAGATCTATGTAGTGGCGGGGCGGGCGGTGTTAGGGGCGGCATTCGGTGGATAGGCGGGGGCTGCAGGTGGAAGATCTGTAAACAGAACAATAACGGTGAAAGTGATAATTATGTTGAATAAAATGACAGAGGCTTTCCAGAAAGTAAATTAAGGGCAATTTCTATACCCGATTGCGTTTCCTTTATAAATCAAGAGATCCCCCCCCCCAAAAAAAAAGGGCTTATTAAATTATAGGCCCACTTATTTGTTTTCCTGGCCTTCGTGTTTCGTGCCCATCAGCGAAGCTACTCTATAATATGAAATTAATTCTCTTTGTGTGTGCTTACCTAAAAAGGGGTGTTGACAAAGTGACATAATTATACAGCCTCATCGTATTTATTGCTATGTTAGGGGATCAATTGTGTGTTTGTAGACGGAACAAGCGCCCCAATGACGAAGGAAAGAGAAAAGAAGGAAAAAAAGGTCTAGGATATATACATGTACAAATATCGGGACATATATATTTATATATGATACGACCTTCGCGTGACGCTTGTGCTTCCGTCAATGGTTTGACGCACGCTTTGCCGCACTTGCTCGTACTTACCTCTGCATTTGATGATGTTATTACCGAAGGAACACACGCTATCCATAAGCTCGCATTCACTCCTGATGGACATGCCGCTGACGTAACAAAGGGAATTCAATTTTGACTGCTTGAGATACTCCAGGACGTTGTCCTCGATGGTGTCAGCGTCGACGTTCTTCATCGTCGGCTGAACGTTGTCGAGTTCGTCGATGAATTCCTCAATGACGCCGTGGCTGCACTTGGGACCCTCCTCCTTGAGTAGTTCCCTGTAGACGGTGCATGTTTGTCCAATCATCTGAGTAATCTGCGATTGAGGTGTCACTGAATAAAAAAAGGGGTGGATCGAAAGAGGAATTTCAGTCAGGGACGGAAAGTGTATATTAATGTACTTTTCGATAATGTTCAGAAGCTCTGCACTTGTTTGGCCAGGAGGGATTAGACCTCCCTTCATGGTCACTGACAGGTGGTTATCTCATCAAATCAGCTCTCAATTAACATAAGAAAAAGGGGACCATGGGGGCCAATGGTCACCGATTAGGCATTGTTTGCTATATAGAGGGCGCAAGTAGCTATACGTAGTGCAGTGGGGCTATAAAGCCCGTCTGCACTAGTTTGGGCAGGGAGATTAGACCTCCCTGCAAGATCACCGACAGGTAGTTATCCCATCAAATCAGCTCTCAATTAACATAAGAAAAAGGGGATCATGGGGGACCAACAGGTACCGATTAGGCATTGTTTGCATTAAACAGGGCGCAAGTAGCTATAAGTAGTTCAGTGCAACAGCGTTTAATGAACAAACAAAACAAACCAAGACAAATGGGTGAAATATTTCGACGCAAAGAATTTTCTTTCAACAAAATAAGGAGACAACTGTCGTGTTTTGTAAAGAGATGCAATTATGTGCTAAGGAAAACAAAGGACTTCTTAAAATAATACTATAGTACAAACTTATCTATATGTATGATCATTTCTTGTAACCTTTCGAAGGGGAATCGGATAGGTTTTTACAACAACGGAAACGGTTTCATTTTTATGTGTAAATATTGAATATCACTCTTCATTCTGCCTGAATAAGGCAGGCCAACCCTTATTGAAACTGCACTGTTGCCAATAAAGTGCGAAAAAATTTCCCCCTTTGTTCATGAAGTGATTGTGAGCATATATGTTTTATTTCTTGGGAGATAAAGTTTGCACCTTCTCTGAACTTTTTTGCCCAATCTAAAGAATCGCAGAGAGAGATCAATAAAGTTCTGAGAAATTATAAACTTTATCTATCAAGAATAAATCATAGTGTCACAATCGTTCAATGAAAAGAGGTAAGAAAATAATATTCCAACTTTATCGGCAACAGTATACTAATCAGGAATGGAAGCTGCACAAACCCCGCCGTAACCAAACCTTGTCGAAGATTAGCCTTGTGCTACACAAGTTATAGATTTTCTTCTTCAAAAATTTGCCTCCGAATTTTATTCTATTTAAACACCAGCATTTTCTCGTCATATTTAGAATAAATGTTGGTATTAGAAAAAATAGTCCTCTTTAGGGGAATTTCCATTGTGATATTCTTCAAAAATTTATATAAAATATGAATAAACATGAGAGAGCTCAAATCCTTTTTCACCTTGACCAAACCTCTTTTTACTCTTTTTAAGAAAACAATAATCGGCCCAAATGTTCATCCTTTTCACGCCATATTCAGAATACTGACATGTTGGTATAAGTAAAATAATAGTCCCTATGGGGGGGGGGGATTATAATGTGATATTATTCAAAACAAATATATAAGACTAAGAATGAGAAAGCTCACATGTTATTTTCTTTCACCTTTAACAAACTTCAACTTTCTCTTTAAAAGTAAAATCATGGGATCACACTTACGTTGTCCGTAGACGCCGGTTATTGCCATTACGGCCAAGGTGATGAAAGCTGTGAGTTGAGTCTGTAAATTCAATCAAACAAAATTTATATTAGATTCGTTTCGTTTAAACCTTAGCTTCATCATAGGTATGCTAACGAGGATAGTGTCAGAGCAAGAAGTTACCAGCAACTGGTAATTTCTTGGTCAGAGTGACAAAGTCACTCAATAAATCAAATGTTAAATAAACATTTACAAGGGCCGGGGAGTGAAAGAAACATTTTCAAAAGTTTAGATTGACACTTTTGGCGTGCTGGATCCAATTTCATCAAGATTGAAGCGAGCATGTAAACAGTGTTTGTTCCCATTTTGAAAATGCTGTCACTCGTCGATCGGCCCTTGTAAACGCTGATTTTTTAGAGATTTTCATTTTTTCTTTTAGACTATCATGAACTAAATGTGGTTGAAAATTAAGGTATCGCTCAATCTTTAAGGGTCTACTTGCAGAAGTGAGCAAGTTTAATTCCTCTTTATAGAAAATATCTTAGATTCCGCACCACTACACCAGAGTGGCCCGAATTCTCAAAGGAGGTTTGTCGACAAACCGAGGTTTATGTACGTCATATGACACGTTTTGACGCGTTTTTTTTTACAAACCTGGTTTGTAAAAACGCATCGAAACGCGTCGACGAAAACCAAGGTTTGTCGACAAACCTCCTTTGTGAATTCGGGCCAGTGAAGCTGTAAGCCAGGGTCTGCACGTGTATTTACAAGATACACGTATACAAAACAACAACAAAATTAATTTGGCCTATGCATCATGGAAAGAACTAAGACCGTAGTCAAATCAATCTGACAGATACCAGGGGGCTGTTTCACAAAGATCCTAATTTGAACTTATCTCTAAGTTGGACTTAACAATTATAGAAAGCCGTTAGCGTCTATGAACATATTTTGTAAAGGTTATTTTAAAAGGCACAACATGTTGATTCAAAACATTAATATTTTCTATTATCAAGGAGATTGCATGTTCTTGATGTGGAATTTATAACAAGTCTAAAATACTTGAATTTTCACTTTTGAATATTTCATTTTAAGGCTACAAATGGCTTTCCATAACTTTTAAGTCCTACCTAGAGTTAAGTTAGACTTAGGCTCTTTGTGAAACACCCCCCAGACCGAATGGAACTACACTATTAGTTATTACCTCGCATAGCTAAAATCGACCGGTCTGTACTCGGTGGGGAGCCAATTAATACATGTAAAAGAAGTTTTAACAAGTTTTAAAGGCCCACTGCACTACTTGTAGCTACTTGCGCCCTCTATATAACAAACAATGCTTAATCGGTGACCATTGGTCCCCCATGATCCTCTTTTTCTTATGTTAACTGAGAGCTGAGTTGATGAGATAACCACCTGTCCAGTGACCTTGTTGGGCGGTCTAATCCCTCCTGTAAACTATGGCAGATAAGCTTTAAAATCAAACTAAATGCCGAACTAAAATAACTTTCGGAGAGAAAAACAGTGAAAGGAAAGGAGAAAAGTTATTAATGGTTGACTTACCGAAGTGGCCATATTGGAAGATGTGTAGTTAGTCGATGAAGCTCGAAAAAGAAAACTCAAAATCAGCTCTTGTTGGATATCAGGAATCGAATGAAACTGTCACGAATATTTCCTCTATTTATACTCTCAAAACGTCTAACATCTTGCCATGATTAAGACTTTATTGAACAATCTATTTTCTAGGAGATCTTAAAGATATCGCGGGGATGAATAACCGCGACCACATCATTGTTTTCTTTTTCTTTCAACACTGACCGGAGAAAGCTAGCGCAATGCCAATTCCGTATTGTAAATCATGAAACACATTCCAAGGCCAAGTCGTCTCATTCTTTGATTTTCACAGAATGCAACCATTCAACAATTGTAGAAACGGATACATTATTTAATTCCATGTATCATCGACCTTCACAGTTCTATTGTGCATTACCTATTATCTTGAAACAAACTCTTAATGATAACGATGTAAATGCACTCCACAAGGTACCTCAAACTCGCATTGCATTGCCAGGAATTATATATGAAATACATGAGGCCCTTTGTTTTGCTTTCCTGGCTAAACTTCAAGTGACTTGGACAATACAAAAATAGACACATCTGTTCGTTTCTCTGGGAAATAGGAATTACTGCAATGTTGATTATTTCTTTTAACAATTTAAATTATTCTAATCGTAAGGAGGAATCACTGTTGTGTTTTTTTTGTTACAGGCTATTGGCTTTTTAATGCCTGGCACAATTTAATTACACATTCTATCTTTGTATATTATGAATTTAATAGATTAATGGAATTGAAAAAATGCATGATATTTTCCCAAAATCTTCTTTCCTCGTGTGAGTCTCCGTTTTACATATAATAGTTTTTGCATTTTTTAATTTTTTAATGTTTTATTTTTGTATAGAACTCGAAGGACTTATTTTGCATAACATAGAAGTTCAAGCTGACATTTTTTCATTCATTAATACCAAAAAAATATTTACACAATTTAAAATCACAACAAAATAATACACGGAAGAGGAGACAGTTTACAAATAAAAAAAAAAACTTTATTGGTTCTGCCACCATAATTAAAACATGAAATACAATTTATACAATGAGTATAGAGAGAAACAAAACAGAACGAGAAAACAATGATGAAATAAAATACTGAGAGAAAAGTCTGGTTATAAATAGATTAAATTGAAATTTAATTCAATATTAATGAGTTTGATCACCTTTTGAAGACATTTAGTGAAGGACTGTATTTTATATTTAAACTTTGGGCCCTTCGTAAAATCAGTGATAGTTGTTAGCTACATTAGTTCTACTCAACGGTAACTGAAAGTAATAGGAACTAAGTGTGACAGACATATTTATCGGGTGAGCTAACAAACTCACCGTGCGCGTGTGTGTGAAAATCATGGAGGTGTTAGTAAGCAAATAATTACCGTTGGTGAAGGTGATGGGACAAACTAGCACTTCCGAGGCGATCTGGGTGTAGCTATCTTTCCGAAGCGAAGCTGAGGAAAGATAGCGTATATAATTCTGATCGACGAGGAAGTGATAGTGTGCCATCGCCTGAAACCAAAAGGTGATTATTTGCTTTATATTCCACATCTAAAACAATTTAACTACAAAAAGAAAAGGACGTGTATGCATCTAAATAAAAGACACCTAGGCCCAAATTCACACCAAAAAAGTTTAAGTTTAACCCAACCCCATGAGGGTAGGATGCGCGCATGTGTTTTCTTTAACTGCGCTCATTGGTACAAATGCGCGCTTAATTACGCCTATTTTAGTGCGCTTTTGGATAATCTTCAGTAAAAGTGCATTGCCCTGTGTAGATAGTACTTCTATCTTTAGTGAAAGCGCGTTGCACTGTGTAGATAGTAGTACTATCTGCACAGTGTAACGAACCTTTTCCTTCTCTCATCAATTATGGGCGAACTATCTTTCATCACGTGATTTACTTTTGACCAATCGTAGAGCAAGATTCTTAGTATGTGGGATATAATAGCATATAGCTCTATGGTGAAAATAAATGTCAAGTGTCAACTTTTAGGAATAGCGCCATCATCAGTTAAACCTTGGTACATGTGCAATTTTTTTTGTTTACGAAATTTGATTTTGATCTCCACCACACCAATGTCTGCCTCCCTCTACTTACTTGCTGAGCCGAAGATTAATTATTAGCAGGGGCGGCGATTTCTTTTCATGACCGGGGGGGGGGGGGACGAAATGCGAGGGACGAGGGAGCAGTGGAGTAATGAGCAAAAACGTTTGGGGGGGGGCAGAAAAAAAATCCGCATCACCACCACTCTTACATGTTACACAGGCCCTGGGAACGTTTTTCAAAGTGTGGGGGGGGGGGGGTGGGGGGCTAAAGTATTTACGATCAGGTAGAGCAAAGCAAAGCAAAGTTGAGCGTAAATTGGCGTGGGGTCCAGGAGCAAAGCCCCGGTGGGTGTCAAGGGCGGAGCCTCATGAAAGTCAGGGGTTTTAGGCATTTAATTACGGTCACATGAGCATATTTTGATACCATATTTGTGACACTGGCATGCAGGTCACTTATTGGAGTGGGGTCCAGGGAGCGGAGCCCCAGAAGCTCAGGGGTTTTAGGCATTAAATTACGATCAGATGAGCATCCAGGTGCCGCCTTAGGGCCCTTGGTGCAGGGTCTAGGGGGCAGAGCCCCCGGAAGCTCAGGGGAAAATCATGCCATTTCAACAACATTTGTAAATCACTTGTATCGAAATAGAAATAAACCACATTTGAATTTTAATTGGCGGGAGCTGCCCCCAAAGCCCCCCCCCCCCAATCAGAACGCAAGTGCGAGGGAGCATAGTGAATGTGAGGGGTGAAGGTGGCGGAAGTGACTACCCTCTCACAGGTTTTTGAAGTTTTGTTGTATAAAAAAATTATGTTCCTTAGCAAAACTATAGTATAATAACAAGCAATATAATTTTCTCACACTTCAATTTTCTCGGTATTTTTCTCGGAAAGAATATTATTTATGCGTGGGAGCGTAGCTGCCGAGCGAGAAGATTTTGCATTTTTATTTGTCTAAACGCTGCACTCTTGGGCCTTCCAGAGCCTAAAAAGGTGTAGCAGTCTTTAGTCAGTATTTGCTATACATTTTTTGTGTGTGCACTTTTTCAAATTTTGAGGGGGGACGTGTCCCCCCGTCCCCCCGGGATCACTGCCCCTGAGTATTAGAAAAGAAAAGGAGCAGGTGTCAAATTAAATAGGGCAATTATCAGAGGTGAAAAATAGGCAATTCTCGCACCTGAAAAGGGGCACTTACCAGAGATTAAAAAAGGCACTTATAAGAATGTATAAGGGCAATTTGTCGGAGGTGAAGGGGCGCCTATCATATTTTAAAAGGGGCATTTATGAAAAGGGGAAGGCGATATAAATAAAATGAAGAGGGTTATTCTTTCCAGAAAGGAAAAAGGGCACTCATGCAAAATGAAAATGGGCACTTGTTGACGAAAAATGGGCTACCATCATATATTTTAGGGGCACTTTTCATAAGGAATAGGGGCATGTGTCAAAATTAAGGGAGCACTTATCATAGTTGAAAAAGGGGAATTGTCTAAAGGGGAAGGGGCACTTCTTACTGAACTGGGCACTTTTCATATGTAAAAGGGGCATCTTTGGGGTATTTTAAAATATGGGGCACTGTGCCCTTCCCCCTCCCGGGAGCGTTGCCTCTGCATTTCATCATTATTCATTATGTATCAACTTAATATAGACGATTTGTCAAGTGTTTTCACTAATATGACATTCATTCTTAGCCCACCAGGAAATCACTCGATTTCATCTATCCCCCGTACGCACCGTTCTTGCCTTTAAAGCTTATTAACACTAGTGTAGCTAGGATGGATCAGACCACACAGCGAGGTCACTGACAGGTGGCTATCTCATCAACTCAGCTCTCAAATAACATAAGAAATAGAGGATCCGATGGGGGACCAACAGGCACCGATTGGGGAAGTTTTCTATATAGAGGGAGCAAGTAGCTACAAGTAGGACAGTGTGCCTTTAAAACAATAACCAATACAGGACCTTCATTTTTTAACAGTATGGACGCTGAGATAATTCAATCACCCTCCCTGTATTCATTCAAGCGTAGACTCAAAGACTTTCTCTTGACATCATACTTTGCATAAGGCACATTATCGTTATTTGTTTAAATTTATTTGTGTCTTTGTTTCTTCTTTTTTGCGCCTCGCTCGAGTGACTATTATGACTATTATACCTGTATTCATTGTGTATCAATTATATTTCCCGGATTTGTCTTTTTTTCATTGCATTGGAATTTTCCGTACTTCATTGGTATATGGGAACCAATATTGTACAAGCATTGCTTTTTAATATAGGTTCCTCATATTTCACGTTAATGATTATTTACTGCCATCATTGTTTTTTTTTTTATTTGTCATTATGCTTTATCTTACTGACCTTAATGTTAACTGTTATTTTTGTGGAATGTGAAACAATAAAAACAAAACAAAAACAAAATGTGAGGCTTTGCTCACGTAGCAACATAATATTCCCAGGGTCTATACAATTGCCATCAGTGATAACAGGTATAGGCCTATATAATATATTGAATATAATTCTTCGATAATTTTTTTTTCAGCATATTTTTCTGCATTTATTGAAAAATCAAGTACAAAATATTCAAATAATAATATAATTGATTTAGATAATGGTCGCCGCTCCCTCGCATAATATCCCCGGTGGGGGGGGGGGGGGGGGGGGGTACTGAGATTTGGTTTGGACGGAAGGTTGCCGCTCAAGCCTCGATCGAAACTCCTATCCATTTTAAAGGTCATTTTGGGGGATTTTTCTCGAAATAAGGCCCATCTTTCACAATTTTCGGGTGCCTGGGTGTTTGCCATTAACACCCGAAATTCGGGGAAATTTTGGAAATTTTGAACAAACAGACCCATGTATGGTATTTTTGTTAATGGGACCGATGTTTAGGGATTTTTGTGTGAAAAATTGACCCAATAGAGCGGCACACCCCCGAGTTTGTCTCAATAATATGTGAGTACCCTCCCCCGATAATATCCTTTTGAAAATGTAAAAATAAATATTGTAGAAAATTTGTAATCCGTTGGTATCATCGTGATACCAGCGGAATACAGATTTCCCCTCGCATTTCGTCCCCCCTGACATTAAAAGAAATCGCCACCCCTGCCTGTCATAACCAAATCTGATTAGCCTACCCCCCCCCCCCCCAAATGTGTAGGAAAGTTAAATAAGAAACTCTGATTGAGGAGTAACTACCCAAAATGGCAAACTTGACTCTGCTATCAATACAGGGCCTATATATTTTGTCTATACCAGCCAACATAAATATTGAAAAATGTAGGGTTCTTAAATCACGGGAAGATGTTAAGTTAGGACTAGATCTACGGGGTAACTAAATTTTCAGACGCTCGATCTGGAAAAACACACTCAGAACAGCAGACGGAATAGAACAGAATAAAACAAACACCAAACCAAAACAAAGCCAGCAAAGCGAAAATAACAAATTAAATCAAGACGAACAAAACGGAAAAAAAAACAGCAGAGGAGAAAAGGCCCGAGAAAAATAAGAAAAGAAAAATGAGAGCAAGTAAAACATTAAAAAAAAAATATCAAAAAAAATAAAAAATTAATAGGGTCTATGCAAATTAAAAAACTTTATACAAAAAATGAAAAGATTACGCGGATTAAACTACATAATGAAAGGGCGAGATAGAATGATACCGGAAATAGAAATATAAAGAAATACAGGCCTAAATCAATAAATAGATTGAAGGGGGGAGGGGGTAACTTTATTTCTCTCTTTCTTTATTTTATATTTTATTCCTATTCTTTCAAACAAATTCCAATCCAGGTGGCCTGGTTCTACGCTGAACGCAGGCTAGGCTAGGCCAGCGCACCCGGGCGGCGGGTCCTTTCCGTACACAGTTTACGTACCGCAGAATTAAATAATTATGTGTCGCGTAGGCTAGGCGCGCGTACGTACATATAGATCTAGGCTATTTTTATGGAATGGCAATCGATATCCTCCTACGTTACTCAAGCTCCATGTCTTGAATTATTGATGAGGAATTCTTGAGCTAAACCGTCACAAAAGGAAATTGGATTAATGCTGGCCATTCTACAATAAATGTCCGTCGATTTATCCGGGATAATTGCTTGAAATATCTGGAAAACTGGACATTGCAGTGGCATTGCCGGTTGTGGATTTTCAGGGAGAGTGTCCACGCACGGCATTGCATGCCTTCGTTGTGATTAGAAATTCGACGCCATAATAATACAGGCCGAATGCACTGCTTTGGAAGGTTTTGCTGTGTACAACAGAAGGCGACGCCACGACATCCGCAGTGCATATGCACACGATCTACATGTAGCCGCCAGCTTGCTGCCGACTGCAAATGGTAAAGCATTATCAATCATCCCATGTATAAACTAAAGCTACATTTAGTATGGTTAACTAAGATTGGTGGTTGGTAGTAGGCCACCATCATGTTGTTACATGTAGACTAGATCTAGATCTAGACTAGATCTTGTTAAACTTTAAGTCCATCTTCAATATTATTGGCATCAAATTGGTTCAATGTTCTGTGAAAAAAATAAAAATGAAGGAGAAAAACAGGGCCTATTATTGTTAATTATGAAAGTGTTCAACTTCTTTGTGTTTGTGTGTGTGTGTGTTTTAAAAAAAAGGTTGTTGTATTTAATTTGGGTGAGGAGTCTTGAGGACTGGATCTATTAATTATAAAAACATTGCCAAATGGGCCAATGCAATGTTTGTACGTGTTCATGCCTGTGTTTTTTTTGTTCTTTTTTTTTCTTCTAGATTCTAAGACTAGGTCTAGACCCTAGAGTTCATTTTGTCCATTTGGTAGTAGTCTAGAGTAGACCCTAGTCTATGTTAAACACTTTATAAAAAATATAAGTTTGTGTAGATTCTAGAATATGAAAAATCATGAATCAAATATCACATTCCTTTTTTGTGGGTGTTTTGGGGGTATTGTGCGCGTATTTTTAGTATGGACAACCCATCTTGACTTATAACCCAAACAAAATAATTTCTGATTTACACGCTAACATTGTGACAGTATAGACAACTATCACTGTTAGAAGATGATCCAACAGTACATGTAGGCCCATTTCTGTACTACAACTGAAGATGTACATGTATGGTGGTGTGACCAAAGTTCGCGCGTGACCTAATGTAAGTTCGCTATCTCAAAAAATCAGTAAGATTACGAAAATCTGATATCACCAATGGAAAGAGGAACTTAAAATTACCCAGAAGTGAAATTTTCTTTGGAATTGGGTACGAAATTGTGAAAATATTGACAAAAGATCGGCAAATTTTGCAATATTTTGCGTCCGTTCCGAAAAATGATCAACTTACCGATAAGGGTCTCAAAATCTTCAATTTGAGAGCAGATTTCCTCAAAATTGTAAGTAAACAGTGGTACTAACTGATTGTATGATATCTTGCCTTGCAAATTATGATATTACCTTATTTTTGATGGATCACACTTTTTGATATTTCAACTGTAAACCCCCGTGCGTGAAGTTAGGTCTCGTTGTTTTTATGACTTTTTTAGATGCAGCGCGCACGAACGATCGGACATCAAATTTTTAGATCGCGATTTCTCCGAAATCCTTCGACGATAAAATTTTCTAGTTGAACTAATCTGTAGTTAAAAACTTTGCCGTCCCTTTGGTTATAATTGAAATCAATAAATTTGTGTAGAATATGAGAAATCGTAGTTCGAATATCACATTTTGTAATATGTTCTAAAATGTCCGCGAACTTTGGTCACCCCTTCATACATGTATAAACCTTGAGGATTTTTACATCTTGAAATTCGCAAACATGGACACGGACACTTTCAAACTCTTGTACTGTACATAGGCCTTGTAAGGTCTGTCTTGGAGTACGGACAAGCTGCATGGTCACCATACAGGATAGGTGCACAGAAGAGACTTGAAAGCGTCCAACGAAGAGCTACAAAGATGGTACCTACATGTGTAGTTCGAAGAATCTACCATACGAAACATGTCTGAGATACCTGAAGCTACCGTCTCTTGCCCATCGCAGGAAGAAAGGAGATATGATCGACGTTTACAAGTACCTCCATGGCCTATACACCACTCAGACAGACCTACTGCATTTATACAAGGAAAACAGAACACGAGGCCATACCTTGAAACTAGAGAAGAATTTTTTTTTCTTCACATCTCGACATCAGGAAAGTCTTTTTCTCGAATAGATCGAGTAGTGGACACATGGAATTGCCCATCTGAAGAGTTAATGCCCCATCTGTAAATGCCTTCAAAAACAAACTCAATAACTCTTGGAAGAAATCACCTTCAGTATATGACCTTGAAAGTAAATAGAAGAATGCAGAACTATTCAACTCTCCACACACACACCTCGAAACGAAACCATAACATACAGAAGTAAATGTATTGATGCAAATATAACCCTTATTATCAACGTAATAATGCTGTGATTGTCACAATGGGCTCATAAGCTGATGCTTCAAGCCTCAAAAACAAGTAAACAAGTAAACAAGTAAGGAATTCAATCGATTGATGAACAGGCTCTGTCCCCAACATCGATGGATTAAAGTAAAGTAAGTAAAGTATACTATCAAACTTCTTTTTGTCTTGTTGAACATTTGGGCTGTAATGTATCACAATAATCTACATGTAACAAAGAGTAGGGTAAGTTATTATTACTCTGGTCATACATTGTACAGTTTACATGTAAGTGGTGCATACCATATAAAAAACATTGAGGATTTTTACATCTTGAAATAGAGAGCGAGTATGATCCCGCCAAGGCCACCAGTAACTACAGTACATGTAAATTTGATGGCACGCACTGCCATATTGTGGTATAAAATTGACAATTTAAGATGTACATGTACATTGTACCCCCCCCCCCCTCCCCAAACCTGGATTTCATGTGGTTGCAGGTCTATGAATGCCTTATAATAAAACTAATATTTTGGGACAAAATGTTGCAACCAGAATAGAATGCCTACATGTACTTGTACATTGTACATGACATGTATATGTACATGTACATTGAATTTGAATTTGTATATTTTTGAAGGCAGAAATAAAATTAATGAAACAAATAAACAAACATGAATTAATGTTTCAAATATGACTGTGCCAACTTGTTTATGTTTATCAGTTATTATACCTACCGTACCTGTACATGTACAAAGGTTGCTTCATCAACCTCTTCATTTCCTCTCCTCCTGTTTCCAGTTTTCAAGATAATCTTTAAAACAAAAAAATCTTCTGCCAATTAACATGAATTTTGTTTTCATCGAGTTTGCAGTATTAGCCTATTTGCACCATTAGTGTATCATGAATTCGTGTATTTTCATGATTACATTCACTTCATTGACACCTACATGTATGTATTTCCTCTAGATTTGCTTGAAATTCATCAGGGAATAATCTGAAATTGAAATTATCAGATACAGATGGTTGATCATTTATGTCAGTTTGAACAATGTTGGTCCTAAAACTGAACCTTGAGGAACACCACATCTGATTTTCATTGTCATTTTTAGTAACCAGGCTTAAAAACACTATGCCATTTCCTTTCCTTTTTGCTTTTTATTTTAGATATCACCATATACACCTACAGTACAGTGTACATGTGTACATGATGGGATAGCAGTACTTACAATGTAGTAAGCAAACCAACCATTGCACGTGGAACAACTTCAACTACTTTTGAGTGGTTACACGATTTAAACATTCCTCAATCAATCAATCATGACAATCAATCACATCAATCAGCAGTACACATATTATACATGTACAAGTTGTGGCATTTATTGTGGAATGCTTTCATTGAAATATCTGATGCAAAGAAAAATTGGTGAATGGCTGGGTACGTTATTTTTTTAATTTTTTTTTACTTGTGACTTTGTAAATTTCTTGTGACTTTTGTAGTTTCAATTTGTTTGTTTTTCATTTTTTATGTCATTTTTGTCACTTTTGTTGTTATGTACATTACATTGGAGATGAACCTGTGCACATACTGTACATTACATTCATACTAAGGTGAAGGAGTAAACTCCTTGGTAATACAGTACATTAATGTACATGTATCATACAGCTACATAAACTGTACATGTACATGACATGTAGGTTGGCATACACTGTGAAGACACTAAAAATAACCTGCATTGAAAGTCCCTCAGACTGAGAGCGAAATGAAGGCAACATCCCCCCTGCAGCCAAAATGGGCGCTGCCCTGGACTGCATCATGATTATCATCCACTTCACTCTTCTCTCCCTCTCCGAGCCTGCATGCCTAATTAATGAGATGATGCAGGCTTCGCTAAATTGCTCCCTGCATAATGCATACACAGCCCTAGCTCCGCACATATCTCTCCGCTGTGTGTGCTACATGTAGCTTGCATTGCGATAGAAGTGTAAAGTGTATTCCCACGCCTAGGGACAGCTCGCAGGGAAAGTGTATACGATTCCGTACTGATCGTACACATACGAACGTGAAAGACGTGCCGTGCTATGGATGCTACACGTACGAAGTCCAGCAAACGAGATTACAGCTTGCTATGACGAAGGCATTGTAATAATAGGGGTGGATGTCATTTTGTACACCCAATACACACTTACGACGGAGGCTCGTGATAGAAATACACTCTTTTTCTTTTCTTCAGCTGTGTGTATAGCGCTATATTCTTATGCTTCGTATTGAACATTTGAACATACTGTACGCAATTACAGAGGTGCATTGCAGTGTTTATTTGGTTGAAATGTTGGAAGATCAGCACAGGTAGGGAGATGGTTTCTATCTATGATTCAGGGAGAGCATTTTATCAATATTGCTGGCCTTTTATCAGGAGTCAGCTGTGTCATGTTATGTGATCAGTTTGATGATTCCTTGGCAGGCATTTAAACTCCATTGGAATCTTTAATTGGAGATATATGTACATGTACATGTATGTACAGGTATTGTCTTGGCACTAAGCTACATGTAGGATTAGAATGCTAGAATGCTGGAATGCAAGAAGTATTAGAAAAAATGTGTGCTGGAATTGTTTTGATTGACTTGAGATACTGTACATCAAGTAAAGATTATTCAGTGCATACAGTACATGCTGTACATGTACATGTATAATACATGTACAGCATGTCAGCATGATGCCATACTGTTAAAATCAATAATCTATAAAGGGATCAACTGCGTTTACATCAATATACTGCACCATTGTTCCTACACAAGTTTTATAAATGGAAGCTTCATGTGCAAGTGACAGGCTCTTTAAAAGGGGATATTGTGACAGTATGGTGTACAATCAGCTCAGCTGTTTCGGGGAGCTCGGTTATTATATTAAATTGATTCGCTCTCATTAAACGTCTGTTAACTGTTCAAGTGCGTATTAATATGCAACCCATTTCTTTATCAGTTAGTGGATTGCATAAATGTAGCCATACAGTGAGAACTGTTAAACCAGAAAAATTTCATGCACCCGAAAGTTCACAGTACATGTACAATAATTTGTAAACTAACATTTCTTTATACTTTGCAGAAAATTTTCATTGGTTGGGGTAATCATGACATACAACATTTTACAAATGTATTTTATTCTTCTACCAACCTTAAAAGGATTGGGTAACTTTGTCTCAGATTCTGAAACAAATCCTGCAATGATAATTATAAACCTTAAAGTCAGTCAGGAACTCCATGACTTTTACAAGCCGATCTTCTGTCTGATTATCAAGATATTTATGATTGAAAATCGAAACAGTTTTGTGTTTTCTAGTGCTGTAGTCAAACGTTTAACCGTCCGGTATCCGACCGCCCGGTATCCGACCGCCCATGGCGGATTCCGTTTTCATTTTTTTTCGTTTTCCCTTTTTTTTAAATTATTTTTTTTAGCTCGTTTAACCGAAAACCGTCCGGTTTTTACTGGCGGTTAAACGGAATTGGAGATATCCGTGATGTTACAGCACTAGTGTTTTCCTAACGGTTTCATAACACTACAATCTATTGGGGAAAACGAGTATGGTAAAACTGGTCACTCAAAGATTTTTACTTTTTTGAGGCACTGCTTGATCATTTTGAATAGCAATTTGTTCAGGGCTTCAATATTACACCATGTCACAGACACTGATAACACGTGGGGGCGTACATCTCAGATTTAACATTGTTAAATGATGCCTCTAAAATTCAGATTCTTACGAAACTTTTATTTCTTTTGTGCAGATATTGATGTCGCCGTGCTTTGCAAATCCATCCAGACCGTAGTATAAACACCACACAAAAGAATGGGCGACCAAGAGGTCTCACAAGCAGCCGTCCCTAATGAGTCTGCAGCTGCACCTCCCGCCCCAACAGAGGCTGCCGCGGATGGCGGGGGAGGAGGAGGAGGAGGCATTGGAGGTGCCTTTGCAAATGCGGGCACCAACATGAAGAACAAGATAAGCGACGTGATGGATAAAATTCCTCGTAAGTGAACACGATGTTTCTCCTATTCTGGTGCCCAACCGTGTTGGCATGAAATATACCTGTACAGTTACATTGGTAAAATCTCAACATTGAGGCTGTTCACACCGGCAGAGATAGCGCGCGCTAGACCGCGCTATCTCTGCGGTGTGGGAGGTACAACGTCGTTTCGGTCCGCCCAACAGCGAGCCACGGCGAGCCAAAACGGCGTGCCACTGGAGCACCTCTTGGGGGTGGTCCACGAGAGATAGCGCGGTCTAGCGCGCGCTAGAAAAAAGGGGGTGCTACGATAGACCGCGCTATCTCATTGCGGTGTGAACAGCCTCTTTCCTGTTTTATGAAAGTTCAAAAAGCTTAAAGACAAAGATGAGTTCTAGTCATGCAAGAACAATGTGATAGAAACAGGTTGGAAGCTATTGGGGAAAGGCTGATTACGTATACATGTACATGTTATGTATACATAAGAATTGATGTGTCTTGTGAAGTTTTGGAATGATCAAAATGAAAAGAAATTGACTTTGTCTTGATGGAGATCACAGGCACTGCACACATACTGTACATGTACATGTACATGTATATGGGACCTTCAACAATGTTACCGAGTCACTTTAAGTAGATTCAACAACTACTGTAATAGTCGTTATTTTCCCACTTAAAGACATTTTAAAGCCCCCCTTTTTTTAGGTAAGTTCTAAATTAGTATTATCTTTCAAATGCTGTTTGAATTTAAACTTTTCATTTTTTTGGCCTGCAAATGGGACATACCGGTTGTACCTTTAGGTGAATAAAAAGGTTGCAATTTTTGCATCATCATACATGTACAATGTATCTGAACGAGTCTTAACATGTTATTGGAAAAACAAATTACAAATGTACATGTATCTATGCACCTTATTATTATTCAGGTTCGGCCTGTTCAGAGACATACAATATTGCAGATTAAATGGTGATTTTGTTTTTTTTAATCTTGTTTTGTCCCTCTCTAGTTCCAACATGGGCTTATTATTCAGGTTCAGCACGTTCAGAGAAATTTATATTGCAGATTAAATGGTGATTTTGTTTTTTAAAAATCTTGTTTTGTCCCTCTCTAGTTCCAACATGGGCTTATTATTCAGGTTCGGCCCGTTCAGAGAAATTTATATTGCAGATTAAATGGTGATTTTATATATTTTTAAAAAAAATCTTGTTTTGTCCCTCTCTAGTTCCAACATGGGCTGTGGTAGCCATTGCCATTGTGGCAGGCCTTATACTCCTCTGTTGCTGCTTCTGTATCTGTAAAAAATGTTGCTGTAAGAAGAGGAAAAAGAAGGAAGGCAAGAAAGGTCTAAAGGGGGCCGTCGACCTGAAGAGCGTCCAGATGCTGGGCAACAGTTATAAAGAGAAGGTAAGTTTGCTTTTTTTTCTGATTTCTATTGTCATCATGTCGCTCGCTTTATTTAGGGATATTTCATTTTTTGCATAGCCCAAATCATGTTGCCATGGATGTACATATACATACCATTAGAAATATAGTCAATAAATAGTCAGTATTTTGTGTTAATTTTGATCACTCGACTAGCAGCATACAGGTACTTGTCCAAAAATGCTGCATTTACTGTTTATCCGAGAGATAAAATACCCCTACCCTATTTTTAATGTTATTTTTGTCTTTTACATAAAATAAGGTTGGCTTTGAAGCTGCGCATATCATGCGTATATTAAACTGTAATGAACACGCGTGATAAAATGAAAGGTGAAGTCTGAGGTAAAAAGTGGTCTCAGAATACCAGTTATTTTGAAAAAGATAAAATAAGATATTTCAGAGAAAAAAATATTACTCAGAATCCCAACCTCTGGAATCTAAAGTAAAATATATTTTTTATTAATTCCTATTAATATTTTTGACATTTTCTTCAACTTAATTTCCTGTTCAAAGAAAATTCAATTAAACAGCAGTATTTGATTATTGGCCCTGATTTTTTCACTTTACTTTTTTACTTACACATACTTTTTTTCAATTAATTTTAACTGGGCCGGACAATTATGCCAATCAAAGAGTGAATATTTGGTTCCCTTCTGTACTCTCAGTATTTACTTGTCAAACCATATCATAATGACATTTTTGTCAACTTCATCTATTAAAACATTGCATTATTTCTTTGGTTTCCAGTTTATTCACAAAGAAGCAATATTCTGTTCTAACTCTATCTCAAAAGAAGTGCAGTATTGTCAATCTTGACAATTTTAATTGATTTTTTGCTGTTGTCATTTTTGTATGATAACAGTCAATGTAACTTGGTTTGCTGCATTTTATACAAAATTTCACTCTGATTTCTATCAAATACGTGTATTTTTTTTCATTTGTACTAACATTAACATACAGACATGTACAGTACATGGTTTTCTAAAACCATATTTTCTGTATTACTGTACCTGTCTGTTTGGATTATTTTTCTTTCTGATTTTGTTCTTTGAAAGTTAATGGCAGTTTAGTGATCAAGCTTTCATTTATTTTGTAGATTTCATGTAGTGGTGTGTTACTCTGGTATACTTGTAATTAATTTTATTCCATGTTTCACTAATACTGTACATACAGTACATGTATATGTGTTGTTTGTATTTCAAAGTGTTGTTTGTGTTTCATTTCAAGTTCTGATAATAATATGCAAGTAACAAATATTGGATACCCCATTCCCGAAATTTAAAAATATTGTACTCATATTATCCTTGTAAAAGCATGTGTTGGGATTTTTCTAGCAAAAACATTTTTAGTGTTGATACATGTACCGCTACATGTACTTCTTTCTTGAATTACTCTTTACTTTACTTTAGATTTCTTGTAAAAGGTGTCAGTTGTGGATGTTTGATGCATATTAATTTTTTATCCCTTCCAATTAAGAGTAACTACACTGTACATGCACCTGTGCAAATTGTAGTACCTAAACTCCTAGGCCAAAGTCTTGACAGTATTGTACATGTACATGTATGCTACTACCCTAAAAGAGAAAAGCAACAAACAAACAAACAAACAAACAAGCAAGAACAAAATGAGAAATACATTGACAAACGCTCACCAAACTATTCACAGTTTGAAGCTGTTGTCCTGTTTTTCTTTTCTTCTCTATTTCTCTATGTGAGCTGTATTAGCGATTGAGATTTGGCAGCTACAGTACATGTATGTGTAACTTCTCCTTTTTTAACATCTTCCCAAGATATTTGTGGTAAATTTTTTCTAATTTTCTTTTCTTGTTTTAGTTTACATTTCTCCCAGTAAATTTCAAATATTTCAAATAGCACCTAAGGCCATTCCATGGTAGCTGCAACCATGAAAATCTCAGAATATGCAGTTCTGATAAAATTTTCAAATGGGAATAGCAAATCGTTTCGATTGTAGTCAAGAAACATTGTTTTAAAGCTAAAGTAATATCAGTCTTGAGATGGAGCTACACAACAAACAATAGTATTACTTACAATTTCATTACTTTAGACTCAATTTCAACGATTGTAAAATCGCATATATACTTTCAATATGTTCATTTAAACCAAATTCATGACCCCATACCAAATATATCAATTTTTCACATACATGTATATTTGTTTAAAATACAAAACTTGGTGAGGGTATGAAATCAGTTATACATGTACTGTATACTTTCATTGGGCCTCGACAAGCTACATATGACACGTGATCCACCCTATTCACTGTAGTATGCATGCATTGTACATAATTATGTAGCCTGATACTGCATCTTGCTGTGAGTGTTAATATGCTTTCATACTATGACGTATGTAGGAGTGTGCATGCAGCGTGTAATTACCTGCTACAGTGATGTCCGTTCGAGTTTCCGACTACTATCCATCTGCTATCACACACATACATGTATTGAGATTGACAAATGTTGCTTTTATATTTGACAATATGTGTGCATCCATACAGGACACACATATTGAGATTGACAAATGTTGCTAATAAATTTTTTGGACAGTATGTTTGAGTTGTAAGCATCCATACAGGACACTGGACACACATACATGTATTGAGATTGACAAATGTTGCTAATATATTTGACAATATGTGTGCATCCATACAAGACACACATACATGTATTGAGATTGAAAAATGTTGCTATGTGCATTGTAGCATCCATACAGGACACACATAGTGAGATTGACGAATAGTGCTAATATATTGGACAGTATGTGTGCATTGTAGCATACGCATCCATACATGTACATGGCCATGATACTCATGTACATTTGTACATGTACATGTACAGTGTATTAAATGCATACATCTCGATCAGAGATATCAAGAAGAAAAAAACACACATGTGAAACAAGTGATTTGCTCACTGATATCTTCTACTTTCTTAGCATGACAGAAGATGCAAGTTCCATGTTTTTAAAGCATTTCATAACTTTTTTCTCATAATTATATATACACATGTACATGTACATGTACATATTTTTGTTGGTGGGGGGGGGGGGGGTTGATAGTGAACAAACTACAAGTTGTGTTTTTATTCCAGAAGAAAACAAAATAATTCTGCTGAGTCAACTCTTCAATTGATACAAGATACAATCTCTATAAAAGCACAGTTAAATTGAACAGAAATACACGGAAGCAATGAAAATTATGCTCAGAGACCTCATGATTTTTTAAAGAGAGCTTTGGTAAAAATAGAAAGAAGGGGAAAGTATTAATAGATGCATACTTATGACAAGTATAAGTGATTGTTTTTTTACAAAATGAAAACAAAATTCCTGCAGGGACATTTTTACTTGTGTAATGACAAAAATACCCAAAAGCGCTCAAGACTGCACACAACAAGGAGTCTTTTTGTACCTGATAGTAGCATACTCAATGGAAATACACAAAATGTAGGCTATTGCATGCACAGTTCACTGGAGTGTATCTAAATAGTACACAAAGCTTTTACTTCATTCCAGGTATAACATGGAAGACTTAGTTGATTAAATGCATGGGACCGTAAATATTTCCATTGATAGTGTTCTTTTATCCTTATACCATTAAATTGAGGATGAAGAATGCTTGTTGATTTATGATACCCGTATCAGACAACATGTATTAAGCACATCTTAGTGACAACTGCTCGATTGATTTTAGTTTCAGCACCCAAACATGTTACATTAGGCCTGCTTGAACATCAGATCAAGATTGCCAAATATCCTGCTCTTTCAATTATCCAGTTAATTTGCATCTTTATCAGCCTGAAGTTGCAATTAACGGGATATTTGGTCGAGACAATCATCCCAAGATATCTTGGGCTAGTTTGCAAAATATCCAGCTATTTGGCAGAATATCCCGCTATTTGTCCGGTGCGTCTTGACCAGCCCAAAGACTCGCACTAGCGCAAACGCTGGGCAAAATATCTTGAGCTAATTTCCTGGGCTTGAGTTTCAAGTTTCGAGGTCGAGTCTCTAGCTGATGAAGATGTGATTTGTAACTTCTGGATTATTTTCCAAATCAGAAATAGCAGCCTATTTGGCAATCTCGAGCTGATGAAGACATACTGTACCCACAGAGCTTTCTGAAACACCTAAACTACAGCTGATGAACTTTAATGTTGACTTCTCAACAGTTATTGTCAAGTGGGCAGTTTTCTCTCATTTGTGTAAATAAAACACAGAAAAACAACAACAACAAACAGATGTACTCACATGTACATGTAAATGGGAAAATTGTTTAATATACAGATCTATTACGGAACATTTTACAGGACACTAATCTTGCCTTATTATAATACTAATCTCCATGCCTTCATTTAACACTTTAGAAACGCTTTTCAGGAAGTTTGAGGCGTATTTTGTACAGTTCATCTGCTTTTGATATAAATATGTTACATTAGAAATCAGGGAATAATTTTCCTCAAATTTTTTGATTAGCAATTTCAGCCGATGGATAAATATTTCAAATGAAATTCTGTACATTTCTATGGAAGAAAACTGCTACACAAAAGATATTTTGTATAGCAGTCATGCAAAAATGCGTAGCAAATTGCGATGCGATACCAGGAAAATTATTCCCTGGAAATATACATGAAATAGTCTTGACAAAAAAATCCTTTAGAGAAATACATTGTAAATATAATAAACAAGTTATACCTCATACATGTATTGGTAAAGAAGTACCAGAACAGATTATAACTATTTAGGAGGAAAGAATACAGTCAGGGATCTTCAGCTCAATTAACAAAATTCCAGCGAAGCCTTCGGACTATTCGCTTGGTTGATCTTCTCCAGTATCTTTACAGCTTTAATTTAATGTATATCAGTTCCAAATCTTGTCTTATTTTGAAAAAGGAGGTTATTGGAAGAGCAATTCATTTCAGGAGGATATTTCTTCTATGATTTTTATCCAGACTGACATAAAAAGAATTCAAA